TACATTGTCATTATTGTTTCTGTCGTCGTGGCCAGGGTTAGGATGAATGTCTCCACAAGATAGTATACGAAGCTCCAGTTGAAAACTAGCGTCGTGGTTACTGTAGAACTTAATTCTTTGCTTGTAGAATCGTCTCCGTGGTCGGGCATACCAGAACGCCGAGTTGTTGTTYGAGATTGATACCAAGATGAATTCAACTTGTGCTGGTTTATACTCTTGAAAGTATGGATTCGGTACCAGAATATCATTTTGTCTGAAGACTTGAGTTTCATGTGTTATCTTGCGTTGGCTTTCAGTAAAAAAAGTGAGGATTAACGACCCAATAAGATAAAAACTGCGGAGCCGTTTCAAGTCAGCACGTTTAACCTTCGTCATGCCTGAGTATCTATTGATGTATTCTATGCCCGGCTTAATCTACACGGTAAAATGAAGAGCTGTGAAGCTTTCTCGAATTATTATCTACTTCTAAACAAAGTTATGATAGTCGAAAATAATATCGAAATACTTGAATGTCCGTACGAATAGACAACTATGTAAATATTATTCGATTACCGATTGGATTAAACAAAGGATAATATACACAGGAAGCCCGTCGCCAAAAGCAACCGTTTTCCAAGAAGGGTTTACGAGCCAGGAAAACCTCTTAGCAAAGCATTTAGTGAGGAGAACCTCAATCTACACAATGGACATACCAAGAAATAGGTATCTTGTGATTTTATAATAATGTTGTCAACTCCTTCTGCTAGAAAGGTAATCGTTTGTTTAATCCAATCAGTAATCGAAAAATGTTTTGAATATTCGTTTACATATTTTCAAACGCAATGCATTCTTTAAAAAATAATGGTTCAAATAATCATATAATCGAATGAATAATGTATTTTTGTGGGGTACACTTGACCTGGTTTAAGTTTATCAAGCATTTGGAGGACCTTTGGTTGAGATATATATACAAACTAACCCTGAAAACTTTATGAATAAAATTTAAACTCTAAGAACTGAAACATTTGCTCTTCTTAGGCCATGCTGAAAAGATGTTAATGAATTGGCCCCTCTTAAAGACAAATCTAACACCCCATTCACACCAACATGTTTTAAAGTGGTTTAACTAAACAGGCTGTGGAAAACTATCTACGAGCACTRCACAATATTTGGTAAAATAATGCATGTAAACTATCCTTTGTCTTGCTCTGACAATATTTTAGAAAGATTTATTATATTGTAGGTTTCTAGTTTCTCAATTTTTGCCTAATGAATACATAGTTTAACTAAACACGTTTAGGTGTGAATGGGGTATAAGTTATTCCAGACATCAGGTGTAAGATTCATGGTGGTCCAATGGCTCAACCTTCTAGTGACATTAGACTTTTGTAAGTTATTTTTATAGTATATGATTTCTGTGGAAGTCTGCATTAAAAGTGAAATTCATCCTGTGCAAAAATCAGTTATCTGTCTGCCCAAGAAATGTCCCCATATTCAAAAAAACAGCAAAATGAAACTTAAAAAAAAGTTAGATATTTAATGTGCCGCAAGATTTCTTATTAATCTTTGATACTCTATATAATAAACATGGTATTCCCAAAAGCAGTTCTTATTCATGACTACCTAAGTATAGGTAAAAGTCAACATTTTCAAGAGGAACACCATTGGAGGACATAGTAATTGAGTCAAACACAATAATTAGACATTGGTTGGTGGGTTGAGAATTAAGGAGACTAACCGATACTGAGCTCTTTCAGTTGGTCTGTAGCACACAGTTCACAGACGTCGTACGTAATTGGCTGTGTCATATGGCACTCTTACAGGATGTGCCTAAGGGTGAGATGAGAAGAAATGAGGATGTGTCTTCATCTTCATGAGTCTACTTCAACGATACTAGAGGGTACTGCAGCCATCATCTAGGAACGTAAAGCTTTATGGGGGTGTCCAGAGGGCAAATATATAGGTATTGTGAGGGTTAATGATATATGTTTTTTATCTCACCTGTCATTATTAATAGGTGAAGACGTCACATGCATAGATCACCTCAGTTACCAATTTAAGAAATACAATCAAACAAAACTCTATGGCTTATTTGCCTTTTTTTTTTTTTTTTTTTTTTTTTTTTTTTTTTTTTTTTTTGTCCCCTGGACAACCCATAACAATAAAGGGATGGTACCAGTGCTTCGTTTCTTGTCTTTAGCTCAGGGTTAGCCTAGACTTCAGTTTGTGCAGAATATTGTCTAGTTTAGGTTCATGGAATTTCAAACTGTTTGTGTTGTTGAAGCTGTGCATTCTTTACTTTAATTACCATTGGTATTTGTGAATATTCAGACACTGATACGAGGCTAAGCCTGAATTTAATTATATATTTAGACACATGCTCTCTAGTTTGCCCAAACAGCAAAAGCTTATTGTGGTAGCTCAATATTTATGAATATAATAATAATGAGGAGTATAATAATAATGTTAATGATGATGATGATAATAATAATAATAGTATTCATAATCATAACAATAGCAATAATAACAAACGACAATGATGATAATAAATAATGATACTAAAAATACAATAATAGTGACCAATACTGATAGTAATAAATAATAAATAACAACGACATAATAATAATCATAACAACAATAACAGTATTGTAGTACATAACTCCTCCCAGATCCCCGCCCCCACACCATAAAAAAATGGGCCAATAATCCTTACTCTTAAATTTTTGTTCAAAAATAATATTTTGTTATGAAAGAAAGTATTTTCCCCCCTGGTATTTAGGAACGAAAATAAAAATGAAGACTCAAATCGTCAAATCCCATGAAGAACTTCAAAAACAACTTAAGAAAGCGGCAATTGCGTTTGCAAAGTCTGACGACTACCACCACCTACGTCCAAAATATACCGTCGAGTCCGCCGAATATCTTCTTAGAAAGGTTGGTGTGTTCTCTGGCGACAACGAAGTGATCCTGTCAGACACCAACGGTGGTCCTGTCACTGTTATAGAGCTTGGCTGTGGTACTGGATTACTGACGCTCGCCATGGTCGCCGCACTGAGAGGCAAGGAGAACATACGTTACATTGCCACAGATCCCACTAAAAGCATGAGTGAAACTTTTGAGAAGATGTTGCCTGAAGTAGAATTCGTAGCATGTAAAGCAGAGGATTTGCGTAAGTACAAAGACTGGGAAGATGGAAAGGACAAAAACAGGAAAAAGAAAGGAGAACTGGGAAAAGGAAGAACAAGTAGAAATTGGAAAAGCAAGAATAGAGCAGGGGAGTGCAGGCAGAAGAACGGGGAAGAGAAAATAGAAAAGAGAGAGAAGGATAGAATAATAGGAAAGCGAAGGGGATGGTATAAGAGAGGAAGTGGAAAAAAAACAAAGCGGAAGGGAGACCACGGGAGTGGAGTGGGGTACCCAGAAAAGAGAGTGGAGAAGAGAAGGACATAGGAAGCGAAGGGGATAGGATAAGAGAGGAGTGTGGCAGAAAAGAGCAGAAGGGAGAACAGAAGAGGGGATAGGGTAGGGTGGGGTGCAGTTTAGTGGAGAACTAAAGGTGGTTATTCAAGATGCTTTTTCATTTGGTTTTCAGCATTCCCAGACAGCAGTGTTCGTGCCTTTGTCGCCGGTGCAAGCTTCCATTGGTTTGCAAACCAGAAGGCCTACGAGGAACTCTACAGAGTTCTGGAGCCATCCGGAATGCTAGGATACGTATCTAACCTACCCAGTGAAAAAACTTCCGCTGACTGGGTCAAAGAAATGTACTTCCACCTTTGGGACAGCTACAAGCGGACGGGGGCGCCATTTGAGCACGATTACGAATGGAGGGAAGCTTTATTGGCTTCCGGTCTGTTTATAGATTACGAAGAAGATTTTAGTCTTGACTACCACCAAGAGGTCACTCTCGAGGAGTGTATCCAGTGTTTTACGTCATTTGGCGGCGTTGCCTCTGGTGGAAGTGACAACCAACGAAATTTTTCAAACGAGCTGGCGAAAATCCTGAAACAGCATTTTACCGACAAAGGCGTGGAATTTCCAGGAATTCAACACACCACAGAGATTTATACCAGTCGCTCCAAGAAAACAAAATAAATCGAGTGGGATCCTATAGCTTCATTGGTGTAACAAAAATAAAAAAATGTTAAGATAAGCCAATCGATTTAAAGCAACATTAAATAAATCGAAAATGATAAATAATTATGTCTTGCGCCTGTTTTGAATTAATAGCCGAGATTTTACGCACTTGGGGATCAGCTGGTTACAATACCGTGTTCATATAATAAGAGAAGAAAAGATGTATCTCTGTAGAAAGAAAACAAACGGTCGGCTTTTCGCTTATTTTAGGCCTGCCGTAGTTTTATTAGAGCTGCTTTGGTATGCGAGGGAAAACATAAGGTACAGACTTACGGCACGTATACAGTACGATAAAAAAAGACAGTGGTTACTAAGTCTTGGCACAATCGCGTACCCAGAACCCACGTTCCTCTTGGTCAGCACTGAGAAACGAGAGGAACGTGTGCTTTGGGTACGAGATTGATCTTGGCATTCCAAAGCAAAGGCCTCCACCCAACATCCCCGCATCAACAATATATGTTTTTTTTGAAACTTTTAACCTCACATCGAAGAAGATTCCGGAGAAACGTACCCTCTATTTCCTGCCTTCTGATTTCTCCTATGTCCAATATGATAAATCAAAGACTGATTCCAAAGAATGCATAGAAGATAACGTGAACGATAAATCAGGGCCGCGGCAATCTCCAAAATATTGGGGGTAGGGGGATGAGGGGGCTCTCAGGCTTTCAAGCCGTCAATGCCCATAGATATTGAAAGAGAGTCGAACGTTCAATCTCGTACCCAGAGCCTGCGTTTCTTCTGGCCTGCAAGCAAAGATCGAGGGCTATCGCATAATCAATTTTTTGAGACCAGCATTTCTTGGACTTCCGGTATAAAAGCGCATGGGTTCAAAGACCTTGCCAAAAATCAAAAAAATGTTCCCGATATTTTTAACTTTTATTTTAATCGGAAATAAACACAGAACTCTGTTTTAAAGCATGATTTTCATTGATTATATTTTACTTCCGGAAAATTACGCATGCGCCAAAAGATGGATTATGTCAGAGCCCTCATACTTGCAGTCCAGGTGATTGAGAGAGACTAGGGAGAGTATTGTCACGACAAATATCCGAAGGCTATACGAGTTCCGAGTATTCCACCGCTATAATTTCGGAAGAATCTACATTTTGCGGGAACGTAAAATACGCGAAAGAATCGACAAATAATTCATTGGAATGAATTTTGCGATTCCACAAAGGGATTCAAACAACTAGGGGTTTGTATCATCACATGATTCGTTCAAACAAGCAATCAATGATTTCGAAGAAGAAACAAAAAGCAATTTTGTTGTGGTGAAGAAAGACAAGCTCTTTGGAAGCGACAGTGAAAGTATAAAGCTTTTAAACTAATTAGCCAAAGCAGTTGAAAAATCATTGGCGGGGGGGATCCCCCAATTGCCAGTCCCTTTGCTACGGCCCTGTAAAATGACTTTTCATCCAAAGTGACAACAGTCCAAGAAGAAATATAAAATATGCCGGGAATAGACTAGTGGATTTTGAAAAATCAAAACACCTCAAAACGCGATGTAAACGCGCGGAAACTTCGTCAGAACACTGAACGAGGTACACGCAACGACTGCAGCAAGTTTTAAACCAAAATGCGTAGTGAAACGATGTGTTTTTATATCTTTATCCAAACTGCATTACATTCCCTTTTATAAAATATAAAGCGCGCTGATTGGCTGGCTACCGTGTTTATATCGGAGGACAAGGAAACGCTTGCGCGAAATCATTCAAAAATATTTTATGAAAGCGATATAAAACGTCCGCGCTTGTCTATATACTGTGATATAAACACGACGGGAGCTGTAGAGCACTCGAGAAAGAATTTTGCTGTCCTTACCCCCTCCCGGAGTGTAAATTGCATCAGCCAATCAAATACTTAGCGCAAAAGAACTCGCGCCAAAATCCAATATGGCGCCTGTGCTAATAAAAGTTGTGGTTCGATGTAGCTCCCAGGTATGTAGTAAAATATCTCCCTTAAAAACAAAAATACGTCGAAATTCAAAGTCCTAAAGGTCCATAACTTAGGAACTGACTTCCTTTTTGCCGTTTCGTAGGATTTAGTGAACGGAAAAGTAGAAAATTTGCTACGTTCTCAAGTGGATCCTTCGGCAGGACGATGGACGTGCTCCAAACACGATACTAACCAACGTCTAGAAGCTGAATTCCAGTTAGAAAAATCTTCCTTTATCAACCATGTAGATATTGGTAGGTTTTACTGCAGTTTAAGTTTCCTACAGGTTCTGTTTTATTTTTCTGTGAGATCTTGTTTTGGGTATTTTATATATTTATAATTAAAGTTCATAGGACAGACACACAAGTAGGGTAACCTTGTGGTAGGGCCAAGCCGTACCGAATATATTGGCAGAAATGTTTTTAGTTCTTAATATATTGCAATTCAGCAGGCATTAATTTACTGGTTTGTGATAATGGCTAATTGACAACCAATAGAAAAGTCAGCCAAGGAAAACCTTAAACCGGGCAAAATGATTTCCCTATCAAACAGACAGGGTAACCCTACCACTAGAGTAACCCGGGTTCACTTGTAAAGGTGTTAGAATAACAAGGAGAAACCATGTAAAAGCTAGGATAGCCCTATATAAACCAGGGGCAGATCCAGGATTTTGTTCAGAGAGGGGTGATGCACACAAATTTAACCCAGGGAGGGGTGCACCCCTTAAAATTGAAGGGAAAAAACACTATTGGTTATCTTCGAAGTAGGGGCACAAAGTGGAATGCGCACCCCTCCCCTGGATCCGCCCCTGTAAACTAGGGCAATTCTAGTGGTAGGATTTCCCTTCCTGCTTGTAAAGGGGCCCTTAGGTAAGCTTAAGTTTAAGCTTAACTTAAGTTTATAAGAATTGATGATTCAATATTTTTTTCATCAGGTAATTATGGATCGGCATTTGTTGAAGTATTTGTTGGTAACTCAATGTGGCCACCAGGGAAAGAATTTATTTCGCTCCTTCCTTCGGCAATGTTGATGCTGCCTGCTGACTGCAAGCAGTGGAGGCAGACAACTTCAGTCAGGATGTTCCATGAAGGTATAGGCTTGATATTATAAATGGTTCTTCTTTGATATTTTCTAGCATGGAATATTCATCTTTTCCTTGCTTGCCTCTTCTACCTCCTCCTTCCTCCCACCTCCTCCTTCCTCCCACCTCCTCCTTCCTCCCACCTCCTCCTTCTTCCTCAATCAATCAATCAAATCAATCAACACACAAGTGTATTTCCCACATCAATTTTTTTCCTTCCTACTTTCCTTCCTTTCTTTCTTCTTTCCTCTTTTYGTTCTATCCATCCTTTCTTTCCCATTTTTCTCTTTTTGTGCAATCTTCCATTTAAGGATCAACCATTTTTATCTCATATTTTCATGTACTCACTAGAATCATTTAACAAAAGAGCCTTGAAGGAAAAGTGGGATTGTGTCCGTGTCATATGCAGGCAACCTTACAGGAAAGACAAGCAATTTGGTTTGTCTTTCATTCGCTTTGGAACTAAAGATGAGGAAGTGACTTCTTCAAAATCACCCATTAAAGAAGAAAGCTATTCTGCTTTAAATGGTTCACCTTTTTCAACACCAAAAGGCAAAACATTTTTATCACCCAGGCTGAAGAAGAGCTCTATCAGGTATGACTAAATAAACTGAATTGAATGTTGACACGCTTAAACAAATTTGAACACTTTTTTTTTTATTGATGAAAAAAGAGGCAACAGCCCAGATTCACCAGGTGAGTTGACATGGGCATCAAAAGTGCTTCAAGCTGCTCTTGATACCAAGTCCAAAAGACCAGGCATAAGACCAGGTAGCAGGTCCAAAGATGATTCCATTCTCGATGATGACGACGACGATGATGACAATGACGATTTTAAAAATCATAGTAATAGAAAGACCTTGTATAAAAGACCAAGCAGTGAAGGTAAGCGATGATCAATAGTTTTCCTATGATTTAAGCTAATGGCATGTCATTCGGCATGTCATTCATCATAACTTAAAGATGCAACATTCAAATGAAGAAATATTTCACCATTCAACTATTCACTTTATGTAGAATCAATACTGAAAGTATCATATCAGGGGTTAGGTGCCCTTTAAGATTGCAATTCCAATTGTGATTTCAATGTTAATGCTAGTGTGAAGCAGGCTTAACCAATGATCTTACATGATGTTGTCAATTCCATACCATTCCCCTGTCATACAAAACCCATAATCGTAAAGGAAATAGGATGGAAACAAATATTTATTCAAAACAAAAACTTTCTTTGGTTTACCATTTAACAAACTTTTTAAAGCATTCTAAATGTTTTTCATGAAATTTTGGGATTTGATTAGATAGTAGAGCACTGTTATTCATATCTATTATTTTACTAATCAATTTGTTTTAATTTTGATAAAGACATAGAAATATTTGAGTGGAAGAAAGGCAGAGTTCTAGAACCACCTGATCAAAATGAGAACTCTTGGATTATAAATGAAGATGTAAGTTTTCCAGGGGGTGAGGGAGGGGGGGGGGGGGACTTTGACTAAAGAAGGACAGAGGTGCTCATATCTTTTAGGGTTCCAGACCAGCAATTTTGTACCACTTAGGGTGTCAAACCTAAAAGGACTACCAGGGTAAACATTTAAATGTAAAAATTATTAGTTGCCACACAGAGGTCATTTTCAACATTTTCAATGAGCGATGAGCATCCTTGCCCTTTTATTTATCGGAGTCCCTCCTGGATATGTTTCCTGCTGATATTTTGTGTGTTTTCCACATTATAACCTCTCCACAACGACTTTCATTTGTTTTAGTGCATTATAAACCAAATGGAAATATGGCGACTAATTTGAATAACTATTGTTCTGGACTGACTATAGCCTCTCATACATGTGAAAATGCTTTTGTGTTTCCACGTGAATATGAGACTAGTCGGTAAAGAACAAATAATTATCCAAAGTGGTCACCATATTTTGATTCYGCGTATAACATGAGAAGCACTGCTAAATGTCGCCTCTAACAAGTTTATCAGTTTATAAACATAAACACAAAAACAGATATGGGGAGAGTTGAACATTGGTTCTCTAAGGGACTGAGCTTCAAGGTTTTTTCTATGGGTTAAAAATTATTTTATAAATTCTAAATTTATAAAATTTGATCAATTTGATCATGGAACAAGGGCCGCAGATTTGTTAACCATGACTGTTACAGTGCAAATCGGAAAACTGTAAACACTTTAAATATTCCAGGAATGTTCTATTGTTCTTTGACCAATCAGAATTGACTTTCTAAGCACAAGATAGCGGAAAGATAACAATAACCCATCTGATTGGTAAAGAAACATTCTTGAAATATTTTTTCTAGGTGCCCAAGGTTTTTCGATTTGCACTGTAAGTGCTACCCTCATAAAGCAAAGAACATTAAAAAATCTAATTACTCCATGGAAATTATACTAGATGTCTGCCGTGGAAATGTAACGATTTTTTAAAACTCTGTTATTTTTCAGATAGAGGATGAAGCGAGGTGCTTTTTGGATGGAATAGACTTCACTAAAATAGACCTGAATAAAGTTACATACTCAGGTACATTTTAATGGTAAAAAGTATATGGTTCCATCTGTGCACTTATTTTCTACTTGATATTTTATTGGTTAGATTTGCGCAATAAAATGGAAGAACAAAGAGGAAGAAAACTGAGCAAATATGAAAAAAAGACTTTCCTGAAGGTATTTTTGTTGCAATTAATAAAAAAAGTTAAAAATCTGTTATCAAAATATAATGACAAATATAAAGATGAGTGGGAAGAGAGCATTGACAGTAAAGGGAAAGGGCCCATGTAGTGCGGTTGGTTTGCACTTTGAAAACGCCACTTCTCACCAATGCAAACCAGGTTTGATCCCTTGGCTCAGTTTTGCATATGATAAGGGTTGTTTGTTGGTTCTCTTCTGTGCTTCAAAGAAATTTTATCCGGGTTCTCAGACTTTCTTATCTCCACAAAAAATCACCTTCAAAAATACTAATAGACCTTTCCCGAATTTGCTTGACTGACCAAGAAACAATGGTTTGAAGTYGAGACTGAACTTGATTCTTTTATTCATCAAGTTCAACCTCGACTTGAAGCCATTGTTTCGTGACCAGTCAAGCGAATTCAGGATAGGTCTATTCGATCTATCGGTTGCCTTATTAAGTGAGCCGTAACACCTGGCATTCCGCCCACCTCATAGTGGTAAATCTGATTTTTTAAATTTTAAGTGAGTGAAAAGTAAGGGGGTAGGATATTGAAAGAGTGGGATAGAAGGGAAGAGGAGTTATTTAGGTAGCAGATATAGTTGTGTTATGATGTATCTAATTGTACTCTTGGTGCTCAATAGATTGCTAGAGATGCTGTTGCCCGTGTTATGGAGGATGAAGGTAATAGTAATGAATCTGAAACATCCCACGGAAGCAAGAAGAACAATAGGTAAATAAACCTACAAACCACAACACATTAATCCACTCCTTCCCCTGCATCAAGCATAGGTAGCATGGGTGGCGTTCGCGGCTAACGCGTCGGTCTTTCGCCGCTGTGAGTCCAACGGGTCCTGCGGTCGCCACATGTGAATTGAGTTTGTTTGATGTGTTGTTCTCTCCTATGCTACGAGGGTTTTCTCCAGGTTCTCCGGGTTCTCTCCCTCCGTAAAAATCAACATGTGAGTTGAGCGTTGTGTGCATAGAATATTGAATGTAGTGGTGGTGCGTGTGAGCGAAAAGTGTCCCCAATTAGTGCGAAAGCGCTAGAACCAATAACTTAGATAAAAGTGATTTATTTTTTATTTATTTTTTACCTTCGAAAAGCGATGGCAATGCAAGGAACGTAAAGTGTCTATTTGGGTGGGTGGAGGAGTCTTACATTTGATAATGAAATAAACTAGTATTGACGATGTTTAAGATCAAATTTTGAAATGACTGAGACTAGCCTTAGGATCTAGCACAGTAAGGGAATCCTAAAAGAGCTTAAGATCAGAACATGGATCAACATTCTTTGATCATCTTGTGAAAATGTAATCTATCTTAAGGTGTACCCAGCAAGTCCAAGAAGAAGAGAGATCCCAAGACCATACAGTTAACAGAAGATCTCAGCCTAAAAAGATGACATCTAGTTATAATATCGATGATGACATCTTTACAGATACAAAGCTTTCGCCTAGAAAAGAGGAATGTTCTACAACGGTGTCGCCAACACTTAAAAATAATGAAAACAGAGCTCCTTCAGAAACGGAGCAGTTTACGGAGTGTCCCATTTGTGGTGAGCTTTTCTCGTCGTTTGTCGTAGAAGGGCACGCTGCCAGTTGCATGAACTTTGCTCAAAACAGCGCCTCTGACGATGGCACTGATAATTCCAATTCTTTAGTTGAATGTCCTATTTGTTCCAGACAGTTTTCTTCCGAAAATATCATGGATCACGCAAACTACTGCGCAGAAACAACTGGAAGGAACGAAGATCCAGAAGCCATAATCGCTTTGTAGATAAAATTATCAACATATCCTATAATAGTAGATCAATAGTTTTCAAAGATTTTATGATATATATTGTAAATACTTATTGCTAAAAAGACAATTTGCAAATTGTCTAACCGAATGGTGGAAATAGAGAAATGCGTGGCCAGTTTGGAATGTAAGGCCAAACATTTTTTTTTGTTTGTGTACGAAACAAAAACAAAAAACAAAGCAAAAAGATACATATGCTATGATAAGTCAAATATGTTGGTCAAGCGTGGTCGTGGTTTCCAAGGAACTCTCCTAATTTCTCATTTCACAAGACAACCCATTATAAAATGTGATTATATTATGGGCTACGTTTGACGTCATAGCCGCCATGTTGGATTCTTTTGAGGCAAGATTTATCCGCAAAAGAGAGACTTGATGGACCTTTCTTAAAATTGTCTTGAATGTGAGGCTAACATGGAAATACAAAAGAAATTCCATGAAGAAAAAGTGTGATGTCTTTTGTATATTTTTGCATGTTAGCCTCAAATCCACGATACTTTTGAGGAGGGTGCATTGATAGCATGAACTGAAAATATTAGTACATGAGAGATGAGGCGGTAAGCCGTGTGGGATGGGCTCGGAAATCATATAAGAACATGCGTAATAGGTAAAAGGCTCTTAATTTACCTATTACGCATGTCCTAAAAATATTAGTAATGAATTACTGAGAGAAAAAGACAGTTAATGCCAAAAGGTATTGGTTATCAGTACTAGAGCTGATCGAGCGAGTTTTTTCTTGGCGCTTTCTGAACCAACATAGCGGTTACCGTTAGAATGCGGCGCACTTCGTTTTCACATTGAAATGTATCATAAGGATTTTCAAAATTCCGTAAAGCTGTATGCTACTTAGCTTTGAAGTTAGGGAAATAAAAAATAAAAAAATAGTCTCATTAGGCATTTTAGGGTGCAGTACGGATGGATATTCTTTCGAGGGTGACGTTTGCTCTTCAGCCTTGAGGTAGTGCGGAGCGGAGACAAACGGACTTGAGGGAGAAGAAGAAACAACAACAACAAAAAATAAACAACAACAAAAAATATATATATAGGGAGGAGAGCCAGCATAAAAAAAGAAAGATAATCATTGTTATCCAATTTACTATTATTATTTAATTGAGTTTTTCGTTTGTTTGCCGAGGGAGAAACAACGGGAAAAAATGAGTAAAGGAAGATGGGAAAAAATTGCATAAAATATTGGGACGAGTATGCGTCTTCGTTTCCTCTCGGGGAGGGACTTCGCGATGCTTATTCACCATGCTTATGTGGAGCGGGGAAAAGGCTGTACTTACACTCCACAAAAATCTTCGTTATATTTTCAAAAAAGAGACTAGGTTAATTTAAGTACTAGAGTACAAACACTAAAAGCGTGCAACACTTTGCACTATTTAGTAGTAAATAGTGCTAATTAAACAATAGAAAACAATAGGATTAGCATAATTTAGCAGTATTTAGTGGTATTTATGTTACACACTTAAAGTGTTCGTACTCTACCAAAGCGAATAACGTAAGTTATATCTGACAGAACTTAAAGCTAGTGGTTCTTATTAAGTTACTTTACAATGTTTCTAGGATGGTTTTACATACTGCTTCAGTCACATCGTTCCTGTTTCTGCTCAAATGTTTGCATCAATGTCTGCCTCTATCAGTTTCGCTTTCTTTTTCCGCGTCCAAGTTCATATGATATTCTTTGTATATTTCCTTCTTTGGCCAAGCAACAAAGTATTTGTAACAAAATCCAACAGTGAAAGCAAAAGCAACCGCCTGGAGGATATCTCTGCGCATAGCGCGCTCAACCATTCCTCGTAACTGTGGCATAACTACGACAAGACTGTGCAGATGGTGCCGGGACTGTGGGCTTAAATCTGAAGGAAAAAAAAGTAAAATAGCAGATATATTGCAGAAATTTACGAATATGAGGTAATAAAAAGTTCAAATTTATCAAAAATGGCCAAAAATAATTTACCATTAAAAGCTCCTTAAAGTTATAGTCCTTATAAGTATGTATACTTGAGAGCGCAATGATACAGAGTCAATTCGTACAAGCTAGGAATTAATTGATGTAAACATGAATTAAACTTAAAAAACGTGTGAGGAAAAAAGGTCTTATGGAGATTTGAGTATATGCTTACTAGTAGTACACATATAATTCAGTCACAAGACAGTAAAGAAAAGCATTGCACACTTGCAAGCATTAACAAGCCGACAAACAGCTGAAAAAATCCAATAAAAGGTATACGATCATTTTAGAAAAGATTTTTTCAAATTAAACCGGAATTAAAGTCAAAACATAAAAAAAGATACGTGCAATAACGCACGTAAAAATATGTGGTGATTAAGTATATATATATCATGTATATGTATTATATATGTATTACATATTCATTCAAAATAGAAAGACTCTGGAACCATGCAGTAAAGTATAATTAACAAAGATGTACATTATAAAATTTCTTTGGAATGACCTTTGGTCTAAGCCTCAAATGCAGATGATGATGCCGTCTGATTCAGTAGTGGCAAAAAAAGACGAAAATTCATTGAAAAAATGGATAAGAATTGGCTATGAACTTTGAAATTAAATTTAGAAAACCGTCTTCCCTGAAGAAAGGTTTTGAAGTCTATATTTTAGAGCAAAATTACAAAAAGTTTAACGCCAAAACCATATGATATAGTTTATAATAATATCTTGACTAAATGTCATTTGGCAACAAAATGCGACAAATATTGTCTTCCAGACATTTTACAGAATCTTATTCACGTTTTTTGGATGAAAAAAAATAATATCTGAAATTTAAAGGTTTTGTCTTTAGTTTTTCCTCCTTTCAAGTTTACTTTCCCCAACGGAAGTAAGCTTATGGTAAAATTGTACAATGGAGTATCAGCTAAATACTTACAAGTGGAGGGATTATGTTGATAATAAATACAATACGAGCTTATGTTTCGATTTTCTTGAAGAAAGGGAGCTGTTGCAATCAACGTTGACAGATGTACAACTTGATTCTGAATTCAGTAATTTTGTCTATCTGCTTTATGGCCAAGCGATTGTGTATCGCAATACGGACCAATGGCATGGCAGTATTCACTTAGCGATTATCAACTGACTTTTATGAAGTATATGAGCACTTTTGACGCAAGGGATGGTACGCATAAGGCGCGCATGTCAGGTTGAACTTCAAACGGGGCTCAGCTCGAACTACATTTGGAGCACGAGACAAGGAAAATGGAATACGGTGAGTGTAGTAAGTTATTTCAGTTTGATTTGACCAGCCAAGGACTAACCCGGATAAAATTAATCGAAAACGATGCGTGAGCAATCGACCCTGTGTCATCATTGTGTTTAAATGTATAGAACAAGTAGCATGTGCGATATACACTTGTGCAAATTATAAAATAATGTCATGGAATTACATAGTTAACCTTTGGTTATATAAGAAATCGTGTCGATAGTGCTAGTTCGTCCTAGTTTCTTCCTCCTCAAAATCTCAATTAAACAATGTTTTACATAGAAACGATATTTCAAGAAAGTAACTCTTTTCAAGTTCACAATAATGTTTCTGCGTCAAGTAAAGGGCTAAGCTACGGAGAGGCGAAGTTCGCATTTATTTATACACAAATCTCATATTCGTCGTTGCTCCTAAACAAACGATTAATTGTTGCCTTAAATTACGGAGTTTATTTTCGAAATAATTGATGATATCAAGCTTAATAAGATGATCTTTGCTCGACGCAATCTGACAACTACATCGTACATGTCGATAGTGAAGCCAAGTCCTGGTCTTGTTTCGCTTTGAGCTTTCGCTTTGAATTAATATTCAAAAGAATCTGCCTGGCTTTATAAATTACATGGCTTTTCGTGGCTGTAGTTATATCTGACAAATAAATAGCGAAAAATGACATATATATATATACTCAGTATATTACTTTCACGCTAGGAAGTTACTACATTGACATTGTCTATAGTCAATCAAGCGAGCGTATATTATGACCTATGTAGTTAATCAGTAATCAACGAATATTAACTTCTTTATTCGTATACGCACAAATATGTTTAAATACGTCTCACAAGAGATCTTCACAATACAATTTTATTGGAGATAAATTATTAAAAATATCATAAAACTCAGGATTACTTTTAATTTTTTTTTCACACGAATTCAGAGACATAACATTGTATTTTGCGTTGCGTTCCGTTCGATCATCGATAAATCTATGAAATTCGCTCTTAAAAACTTCCATAGAGCTATTCTCTGTGATAAACCACAATCATTAACGTTATTTCTACAATAACCCCAGTCTTAAAAATCAAAAATATTGTACGTAATTAAAAATAAAAAAATAAAAAATAAAAACATGTCAGGTTTTCAAATCAAAGGACAGCGACCAAAAATTATTAATTGGACAAAAAAATCCAAATATCTTGGGATTAATACTCAACCCCCTCGCTTTTAATATAAACTACTAMTAATAATAACTGTTAGTGCTTTGTTCTGTATGAAGTCGTTTAAAGACTATTTAATATTTTTATTAGCTTTGTTATATAAAGAGCGCAGTCTATTAATGCTAATACTGTAGAGGTCTGGGTCAAGACGGACCCGACTGTCACGTGATCCAGTGTTAGACCGTTCGGTTGTTCAAGATGGCGGGCCAAATGGTCTTTACTCCTCTCTTATAATCAATAATTCCTATGGATTCCAAGAAGCTCAAGAGCTACTAAATTCCGCCACAAGGCTGAAGTGATTTTCAGCCGACCAGCCGTCGACATGAGCGGCGATAAGAATGAAAATAAACGTAAAAGCAAGGGTTTGACGTGGGCAGAGGCCTCGAAGATCGTAAGTTATGAGTGAAGAAGTAGTTCGATGTCTTCGTTATGTTACATCGTTACTAATGGTATATTTGCCTTAAACAGGTCTTAGAGAGAGCCGGCTGTCCTATGACCCACAAGGAAATCTTGCAAGTCATTCAGGATGAGAAGCTTCGAGACGTAAGGTGAGTGACGTGGGTTAGTTTTGCTCTGGGATCTTGACGAACTGTTCTCGACCGCGTTGTGCACTTTCAATAAATATTAACGACGTACACTTTTGCAAAACGACGATATGAATTTACTAGCTGTAGAGAAAATCGAGCCATTAAATCTCAGCACAATATATTTTATTTATTTTTTCTCTCTGCTTCTTTTGCTACATTGCTGTTGACTGAGATTTTGACATGACGCATTTACAATGAACTTCACTCTCGATGTTTTAAAAAGAACCCAGATTTTTATTCAAAACCAGGCTGTATTCATTGCTTTTGGGACGGTTGTTCAACAGATATCTTTCTAGACTTAAGAAACAAGGAATATGAACCAAGCTAATATTAAAATACGAGTCGAGTGAAACGTTTCCATATTCCGTCATTTTCTAGCTATGTCTCTCATCTCACGTGCTCTTAACAATTAAAAAAAATGAAATTTGGGAGTATTAGCTGGTTCTAGTTGTTATGGCATCAATTCTTCACTACTTCCTGTAGTTTTACACTCTACATCTGTAAAATCTTCATAATTATAAGAGTGATAGCCTCTGGTGGTGGGATGGCCATGTTGTTGTATTGTTTCTGCCCTTGAAACCACTCTAATCAAAATCTTTAAAAAATAAGATATAATTTTGTTTTCTGAATAATATATCCTCACAATATTGGCAAGATAGGGCTAATAAATCTGTGTAAGACCTGTTAATATTAAAGAGTGTCTTTCATTTAAATATCAGTAAGAGGAAAATTGAATTTCATGCAGTAACCTGGCAGCACACACTCTTGGGAATAACTATAGAATGCCCCGCCAAATGAAAGCCATTTCTAAGGAATGTGCGTGGCCTACTTGGTGATTAATTCTTCATATGAATTCTCAGTGTATTTTTCATCAYGTCTCTCTGCCTAATCAGCCTACATGCCTACGCAGCCTACGTGCCTACGCAACCTACGCGGCTACAAACCTACAAACCCCTTGTTTATTCCTTCAAAGCCTTCCCCAATCCTAACGATAAACCTAACCCCAAGGTACACGATTAATTATTCCTACAATGAATGCTTAGGCGCGTAGGCAGCCTACTATAATACTTTTCCTTGCGGGGTATTCTATAGTTGTACCCAATCTGGACATGATAAGTGGAAAACTGAAAAGTAACCAGTGGGCAACCTTTGGTTCTGGGTTGATCAGTTTAATTGATTTATGATAAACCCACACCAAATATGGAGATCCTGACAATAACATCCCAGTCAGACATTAACGTCTACAAAGCCTTGAAATGAAATGTTGACCGGAACACTTCATTGCATTTTCAATCACCTTCCTATGCCTACCTTGGCTAATATAGAGCTTTGTCAGTGTATGAAACAGGAAGGGTACAAGTAACATGAATATTGTGCAATAATAAAGGTATACTTACATGACATTTCTGATAGTCCTCAATCGAAGTAATGGAAATTCTTTACTTTGATAAAGGAGTAATATTCTAAGTATATATTATTATGCTGTGTTCAGGTTACTTCTATCATCTTATTGTTACACTGATCAGGTTACTTTTTTCATTATTTACTTTTTTCATCTCCTAAACTGGAGCAAAATGTAGCAGTTGTCTGACTTCTCACGCCCTCCAGGAAGGCTTACCCTGCAAGGGATATACAAATACAAGTTTTAGTTGAATAAAATGATCTGTTTGTGTTAAGTATTTCTTTGTATTTTGTTTTAGCCGTGGTACCTCTTCTCTTGCCTGCTTAAATGCCATGCTTCATCATCATTCTCGAGGTTCTGATGCAGTGTTTTATAAAGTAGAAGGCCGCATGAGCTGTTATGGAATAAAGGTTAGTTATCATGAGCAAAATATGTCTATGAGATACATACATAAAAATATGTTATACATGTATTGATTATATGTACATATGAGTATCTGCCACAAACCTGGGGAGCTTGTTCCATGATCAAAGTGCCATTTTATGAGCGAAACTATCACTCTTGAATTGTAAATATCTTTGGACACCAGTAATTCATGATCCAGTGAAGGCTTATGATTCTATAGAAATTATCAGTATTATGCAGAATTGTTCATCAGAATGCTTCAAACATGAGAAAGATGCTCTAAATCAGCACCCAATGTTCTGTTAGTGTAGATTTTGTATGACTGTTGTACAGCACATTCGCGATACATAAAGATGTTATTCTTTGAGCCAATCGCAGCTCACAGATTACTGCTCCACCAATCAAAACATTGCATCAGGACCATGGTATATTATTTGAGCTTTTTAAGGTGATAAAAAATTTGATTTGAATGAAAATAATTGTTCCAGTGCTAGTGTCATTCAAAAATGACTATTCATTTCAGTGGCAACAATAATTATATAAAAAGGAAAGTTCATCAGAGATATTCCGAGGAGGAGGGGTTTTAGCAGGAAACAAAATACGACGTAATTATTATCCCTCAAATTGGTTCTGTTTAAAGAATCTCTGAATTTCATATCCGATAGAAAAACAGCAGTGATATAAAGTAATGCTCTTGCACAAAGATGTATTGCATACAACAGTACAAGTTGTTTTGTTTCAGCAAATGTCACAGCTCTTCTCAATTCACTCAAACACTGTATAAAAATAATGAAATCCAGTCTGTGAATGCCATGAACTCCATTTCATGATCTTCGACAAACTTGATTTGTCTTCTTTAAAGAAGCTACTCATGATCTTTGCATTAACATTTATCTCATTATCCACATTAAAGATGTGGGCCTACACCTGCACACAACAAATACCACATTCATTATATCTGTAAACTGCAGCAAAAATTCATTGTTGGCATTTTTCCATTCCCTAGAAAAGCAAAAGTGAAAGCACAATTCCTGTTATGAATAACTGCAAAGGTCAGTCCTTACCATGAAGTAACTGAATATTATTCCAAATAATTGTCAAAGCACACTCATTATATCCTTAACTTTTAATATTATTAAAAATATTAGATAAGCAAAACATGGACTAAAATGCTATTCATTGGTAGCAATAGACTTCTAGATTGGGCATAATTCCTTTCCACATTACATAGATTTATTACTTTGGTTAGTTTTCTTTCTAGGTTATTACAAAATGGAAAGTAAATGTTACTCAAAATAAATATGATTATAGATTAAAAAATAAATTGGGTTAAGTTTTCCTTGGTCTGGTGAAAATGTATTAAAACTACAAACAAGGAAGGTTTTTTTCTGATAACATTCATCCTTAATTATCAGCATTTTGTATGACTACATTAAGAATTGGCATATTGGATTATAGTTCAATTAAGACCAAAAGTAGTCATAAAACATCTTAGTAAACAAGGTTTTTATATGACAAAAATGACCTAACAAAAAGTTGTGGATTTTTTTTTTTTTTTTGCAAATTACTACTTTGGTTGTTTTATGATGGGTTTAGCTTCTAAAAGATTACATCGTCACTGTTATAGAATTTTTTTTTTTTTCATTTTGAAGTAATTCCTATTTTTTCCTTTTCAGCTGTTTTCATTATCTTTCCAGTTATTCACCCGTTCACCCATTTTCGTCATCCTGCTTCAATATTTGAAACTGATGAAATATTTTCATTTCCAGATAATGATCCATCTTCCCCGAGTGTAAGCACAGTATCAAGCCAACAGCCTGTATTCTCATACTCTGAGCCTCCATTGCCTTTAGATTCTCCTTCCATTATTTCTGCCTCTACAAACAATCCAGAACCATCCCCAATTCCCCAAGAAAGTCCTGATCCTGCTGTAGTTGTGGAAGTACCAGATATCCAGAGAGAAGAGACTCTCTCCTGTGGTTCCCCCACAGAAAAGGACAACACAGCTTTCCTGCCAAAATCTGCTGCAACGTTTCTATCCCCTCCACCAAAGCGACCAAGACCCTTGTCAAAAAGCAGCAAAAATAACCGTAAGAGGATTCCTGACCCAAGAGTCCGCGTCAGCCAGCCTCCCCCAAAGAAGTCAAAGCCAAATAGTACAAGACCGAGACCAGTGGCTAAAAATGTCTTGAAGAACCTGAAGGTTGGGACAGTAGGAGAGATGAGTGAAGGCCAGAGTTCAGGGGAAAATAAGGTACAAGAATATTTTTACTTTTGAGCCTTTCACGGTCAGGGCTAAAAGTAATGGCTGCACAATACCCAGGCATGATGGCTGATCACATTCAGGGCTTTAAATAATGGCCAGACATTAAACAATGTCTGGTAAGAGCTGTTAATTGTTCGGTGAAATCTTTGCTTTGTCAGTCATTTTGACCAGTAATATTGAGCCAGAAATGAGGTATGACTAAGCGAAAACTTACTTGGCCAGTTACCATGACCAGTGACTTACCAGCCGTTATTTTAAGCCCTGACATTGGACTGTACAACATGTGACCAGTCAGAGTGACCGGTCAAGAGGACTGGCCAATTTTTGGTCAGAACTTATATGTTAAACCAATGATTATTTTTAACCAATGTTTTATTTAATGCATTTTGTTGACACATTGACTTTTGGCCATCATCTACGGCCAGCATAGCTGAAACGTCAATAGTTCAACATAAACTTCATGTGGAAACTCTAGTACTTTTCAATTTGAAGGATGTTCGTGGTCATCATTTGTCGCTATCTTTCTCACATTAGTTTAGTGTGCAYGCCTTCATCGTGATGAAGTCATAGGAATGTTTTCATGGGCAAAATATCAAGAAAACTAGCTTTTAACTTCAAACTTGTACGCATGTACCTCTATTAAACAAAATAAGTGACCCCTATTTTTCTTTTTATGTATATGTTTGTCTCCTTATTTAACATGTTCTTGTAAAGTTAAAAAAAGGTTTAGCGTTGGAAGTTTTTTTTCTCTATCTATTCAGTCCAAATATTGCATGCAATTTCCAATGGTTTTTAAAGAAATTAGTCCTAAATACTGTACAAYCGTACAAATTATCTCCAAAATGAGTGCTGTGACCCCCAATTATTTTGGCACTTTTGATACAAGTTAACAAATATCTTTCAAAATAATATTGATGAAAGTATGAAAAAAAGTTCAATGTTGGAACATTGTCCTGTAATGTTCTTTAACGAAGCAATTCACTTCATATTTTCAGATGAAGAAGCTTTCAAGCTCCATTAGTTCAGCTAGTTCAGTGGATGGTTCAGTCAATGGTGACGGTCACACTACACCACAGATTGCTGCGGCAAGAAATATGGTCAAATTCTCAGGTCTACACACTAAAAAGGTATACATGAATTTTCAATTTACAGCAGGGATTTATTGAATTATGGATGTAGTATGGATGTCAAACCAAATTGCTGGGGTCAATTTTCTTGACTGTTACTTAGGAAAATAATTTAGAGACAAATAATAATTTATTTCAGTGGGGGGGGGGGGGGGTAATATAGTGGAGTCCTGTTTTCCTAAGCCCCAGTTATCTTCAACTTCCTGTTATCTCAGACTTTGAAGCTTTGTCCTGTAGACTTGCATCACTATAATATTTTACCATGTGTCTATATATCTTGAACCCCTGTTATCTCAAACATTTCCATGGTGTAGCTGTAAATAGCTAAAGACACACTAATTTCCATACTTCCTTGTTCCTACTTTGTGTAAACAGTTACACCAATATTATGATACTCAAGGGATATCACCTTGATAGCTGAAGCACTATTTCCTCTAAACTACGCACATGTTTAAGCTCTAAACCTTTAACTTCCCTTTTTTAATGGTATGCAATTTAAATTTTATGGTGCTGATATTTTTCTTCTTTCTATTTCTAGCAAAGGCGATACAAGAAAATGAGTGTTGGTATGTTACTCCAAAGTTCGCCATTTTGATCTATCATAATAGAGGGGTGGCCTTGTTAGCCAAATGGTATTTAAAGTTGTAAATTCATTTCTAGCTAATATTCTTGGAAAAAGAATTATGCTCCCAAGTCAGGAATTACTCCGAAGACCTCATGGTAGCCAGTCAGGTCTTGGGCTCAATTCCCTCTTGAAATCTACAAAGCTTTTYGCTGTCGTATCACAGCGTGAGACAATCACAACAGTCTGAGCTAGGCTCCAAACTAAGTGAAAGCCCAGAGATCGAATTAGAATTTAGAAGTTGATTGTTTTTGAAATATTACCTTAAAGAAGAAATGTTTACATCTTTTATTAATTAATTCCAAACTTGAACACCTTGATATGAATAATATTTTGTTATTCTAGCTGACCAGATCAAGAGGACCAAAGAGGGTAGAGTGGACCTTCAATCTCCAGAATCCATATTAGCGAGCGTTCCTCTAAGGGTGAGTGTCTTTAATATGCTTAATATTAGATTACAAATCATTTTCACAACATTATTCACTCAGAGATGTCATACAGGACCTATTTCCCCCCACCTTTCAGTTCTTTACTCCCTCATCTTAAAACAACCCGGACTAATTCAAACTGGTTAGAGCTGTGTGCTGCGGGGTTATATTTTTTGGACTGTATAGCAGCTGCCAGACTGCCCTTCACATGATTTAAAGTTTGACCCTATTGAGCTGCACCACCGCTGTACTTGCAGTTGGTTATTAGCAATATTAATACTGATTTGTTTATTTTTTTCTATTGTTCTATCAATGCTACTTATTACAAAAGTATGTAGTACTGTTTCATAGATTACGTATGAGAGCTCTGTCAAGTGCTTATTTGTTATAACAATAAGTTAACACTAGAAACTAAAATAATTTAATTTTTTATTCTGTCCTTACTTATTTCAGAGCCTTTTAAATAATCGCACCTTCCACCTCTTGCCACCTGCATATCAATATCAACTACTCATGCTGTTGCCAAAAGTTGATCGGGTTGTTGGCCCAGATGGTGGACTCAGGTAGGGTAACAACAATATGATAACATATGTAGTTTCTTTTGTGTTAAAACTTGACTATCGGTATTCTTTGGGTGGATGTTACGTCTTCCTCCGTTAAGTACTCCTCATTAGCTTCTCTTGTTAGATCATCTAACATGGCAGCTGTCTTATTGTTATTAATATCTCCAGGGATTTTGAGTCATCTGGTTGCACCCCATGAATATTGACGCAGAGCCAAAATTTTAATTTACAGCTGAATTTTCTGTACTTGTAAAATGTATCRTATGTTACAAAAAAATAAAGTTTCGTAAGTCTGGGAAATTAGAAAGTTGCCTCACCATATGTACCCCACTCAACTACCCCTATTCAGGGCTTGAAGTAGAAAACAATCCTATCTTTCAAGTAAATTTTGCATGCAATTTTATTATTCATTTGGCACAAGTGCATCCTTATATTTGCCTGCCAAACCTGAAATTTTGCATGACATTTGGGATATTTCCAGCGTTGCCTATGGATGACTCTTCAAAATCCAGTGTATGCGGGCTTAGCCTCACTTCTGAGGTCAGTAAATAAAAGCAGAAATTAGAATAACAAATCAAGCAGCTCCTGGATTTGAAGCTAAGCCTGCATACTCTGGAGTCTCAAGAGTCATCAATTCACCCTGAGCAAAGCTTGCTTCAGTTGTCTACTAATAAACCTGTTTGAGCTTATGATTAATGATTATTAAGGATTATTATTCTTTGTTTCTCCTCAGGCCATCTTCTACTGCATTTACCAATGAATTCTTTACAAGTACTTGTCATTTATGGAGAGATCGCCTCAAAGATGGTAAGAGCACAAGCAAATGTCTGAATTAAATGTCAATTTAGATTAAGAGGAACCTGGAAAAAAATATTAAAAAGACCATCCACGCAAATGCTTTTTCCTTTGAAATCTTATAGTTTTCAATGCGTTTATTCTTGTGTACACATTAAAATGATCCAAAAAAGCTGATTTGCGTACCCCTACTAACCCCCCTTCCCCCCACAATTCAGGAAACACACATTTCAATAGAGCAATAACATTGCAAATCACAGTTAACCTCTAATATTCATGAAACTTGCTCAACATTGTGCTATTTGCACAGATCATGCACTTATTTTAGCCAGAATCATGTGTCACATGTAACCTATGTGCCACCCTGAGATAAGGTAATTGTCGTTGCTGAGAATGATTTGTTTATATTCTTAGGGGAATTTACTCCAGAAATGCAACAAAAACTTAGGACAGAAGAAGAGAAATTAACCAAAATAGATCCATGGAAGGTAAAGGGGAAAATGACTTCAGAAAGGTTGCTTGTTTCTTTTTATTTTTCTAAAAATTTTAAAACTAAGATGTTTTGAAATTTTCAGGCATCAGATCATCATTAGCAGTGACTTTATTCAAAATTCTTTTATTATCTGTATCTGTTTTATTATCTTTTATAGTGTGCCTCTTGTTCTGCTGTGTAGTTCTGGAAAATATCAATACCCCTTACCCCCAGGAACTTCCAATTGTATTGCATACAAGCTCTGTAATTTTATTCTTTCTCTAACCGGTCCCTGCTCCCCTCCAGAATTTCCTGTTTCCTCCATGGGTGGTGTATGGATATTTTCTGGAAATACACAATGTTAGTAAGCAAATCAAATCTAGGAAGTACTGTGAATGTGTTGATATCCATAGATTTATTTATAGAGATCTTTATAGAGTTATTTATAGTTTAATATTTTCTTTTCACTTTTAGGCCAAATTTTTTGAACCTGTTTGGGGACAAAAGTAAGTACATCAATATTGTTTATTTGGACCTCATTTCACTCTGACGTTTCAATATGTAGTTCAAAAAAAATATCCTCCCCCCCACAGGTTGGGGGGTCAGAGAAAGAACAAAATTACAGRGTTTGTATGGAAGAAAATTGATATTTCTGGGGGTGGGGGTGGGGGTCTCTAAAAATGTTCCACTATGGGGGAGGGGGTATGATAATTTCTGGAACTACACAATCAGATTTTTATTAATATAGCTCATCAATATTACCAGTCAATCAGTGCACAGTTTAACAGCCACAAAGGTGGTAAAATTTTAAGGCAGTACAGCACTAAGTCTTCATCACGACAAACTCATCCTTCAAAAGCTGGCTGTTTCATATAATCAAATGTTTTTTTTTGTATTTTATTATATGATCAAATGTTTTCAATTGATATTTTTTTCCTGTTAGAGAAAACTCATTGAGATTTGTTATTGTAGATCTTTATCCAGGCTGGACAACGATATGCTTCCACTATTTCCTGGACTTACACCTGAATCAGATAATCCATTGAATGTTCTACAGTGTTGGCAACCTCCAAGTCTGGTAGACCGAAGCCTCACAAATACTGGACTAATGCAAGCAGATAATGTCACTGTAACATCAAAGACTGAGCAGCTAAATAATGCATTTGTGCCTCAGCTTACAGTTCCTGTAAAAAAGCTTGAAGCTAGTGTGTTAACTAAAGCAAGTAAAACAAAACACAAGCAAATGTGTGTAGGTCCACTAAAGAGATCAGAAGCCGCAAAGTCATTGACCAGTAAAGCAAAAGCCAAGATCAGTGCTGTGAGCATTATCTTGTCGGCATCTGAAGCTTCCAATGCACTCTCTGCCATTAGGAATTTCGAACCGCCAGACATGTTACCAGCATCAAAACTATTAACTCGCAAGAAAATTATTAAAATTCCTATCGCAGAGCCGTCTTCTACGACCAAAGCAAAACCAAAGAACACTTCTAGTACACCTATAGTGAAACGAACTGAAGATATCAATCCAGATTTTACACTCAATTCTTTAAGTGTCAATCCGCCAACCCAAGTTAATAGCAACGCATCTATCAATTTTCCAAAGGAACCAATTTTCAAGTCCAGTAATGATACTGTCAGCCGTCCGCTGTCAAGTTTATTGCCATCCAATGCAAATACCATTACTAGTAGTTTGAATTCATTGATGCCGAAGAACTGCAGATGTAGAATGAAAGCGATGAAAGTATGTCGTATGTGCGGAGCCTTCTGTCATGATGACTGTATAACTAACACACAGCTTTGTGCCACTTGCGTTAATTAGTAACCTTCTGACATCTAATTTATGTTTCATGCCCTTATCAGCCTCTGTTTAGTGCTCATCTGTCTAATTTAAAAACCTACTAAAAACCTTATCATTATCTTAAGTAGTCTTGTTAGGTCGTTGGCATGATGGTGTCATTACTAGCACTACCAGAATTCTTCTGAAAAATTACTTCTTAAACTTTAATATATTTATTTATGAGAATTTTCAGAGACAGATACTGTAGTGGTTATCAACTAAACAAAAGATYGTGTGAGACAGATTGTGATAGTGGTAGTGTGTCATCTTATATGCAAATGGCCTATAATAATTATTAGTCCCCAAACCTGTGTAGTCTGAGAACATAGACTTAACTTCTCGACAGGAATGGGATCTGCTAAATGTATTATTTTGCAAAGCAAATTTGAGCACAGCTCAGGAAAACATACATTCTTAGGGTCATTGCATGACAACTTGATGACCCTTAGAATGTCTGGGTAGTAAGTTAAGCGAAACATTACATTAGAGAATTATTATGTACATGGAAATATGTACATGTATTGATGAATTGCTAAAAATGTGTAATACCTTTTGTACTGACATGTGAAAGCATAGAACTTGTCTCAACATTCCTTATATCACGACCTTCATTTCTTAAACTTAGATAAATTGTGATTTTGAGTTTGATTTAGCTGAGGCAAATGGATGGTGAAAATGAGTGTCTTGTAGACATGCCATCAGTACTGTTCTGCACCCCTCAATAGACCCATTTACCTTCGTATGCAAATTGCCAATTTCAGATCACATGACAATCCCTCGAGAGTTGTTCTTTTATGACGAACTTGTTAAAATATTTACACATGAAAGAAGCAACTCCCAAGGTGGCATCACATGGTCTGAAATGTCAAAACAAACAATGAAGCTAAAAAGGTCTAATGATGTACAGGATAGTTGAACCAACATCCTAACTGAAGCTGAGAAGTGAAGGGGCATGATAAAGGAATGTTAGAGTAACTGCTATTGTTGTCAATAAGAGAAATTAGAAATAGTGAAGATAATATTATTTGTGGGTAAATTTTTTCAAGTCCTGGTAAGGACAACACCTGAGAGGATTTGCAAGAAAGAGAACCTGGTGTGATTTAGAGAATAAGATAATCATCTTTGCTAAATCTATGGTCTGTACAGTAAAACCCCTCTATACCGGACAGTGCTGGGACTGATAAAAATTTCCGGTTTAGCGGGGGTTCCGGTATACTGAGGTTTTTGCAAATTACTTTTGTTTTCCATTTGAATAGGTGTGATATCACACCTAATCGCTTGGCGTCAGTATAAACAAACATGCAAACAATGATTTTGTGAGTTTAGAAGTTGTCCCTGTAGACTCAATTTATACACCCGCAAATATGCTTGTGACGGTAGTTGCGATACAARGGTATGTTTTTCCGGACTAGCGGGGTTGAATTCTATTGTCAAATAGCGTTTGGTACCGAAATTATTGTCCGGTTTCCGGAATAGAGAGGTTCTGGTTTACTGAGGTTTATTTTACGAAAGATATATGGGAAAAATTTCCGGACCAAAACTTGTCCGGTTTAGAGAGAATTCTGGTATACTGAGGGTCCGGTATAGAGGGGTTTCACTGTAACATCCCTGATTATTTAGTTCTTAAAAACATCTGAAATGTCAAATTTGAGATATGAAATGTAATGTGAAATGTGCCCCTCCCACTTACCACCGATAGAAATTTTTGTCTCGTGTTAAAGTATGGATAATTTTTGAACTACATTCTAATGTAAACATAATCTTCCTGAGTTTAGGTTTATGACTACAAAATCCAGTTGCCCCACAGAACACTGTGGGCTTTGCTTGTTAGAATAGGAGAGTAGAAATTGATATAGAATCCATTTATTAAAAATGTAAATATTTCCTGAATTACTAGTAAAATCAGAGAAAATAAACAAGGAAACTTACGTTACAGTGTTTTACCATATCAATAAGCCTGAAGCGAGATGACATTTTACCCCCCTCTCTAGACCATAATCCTTTTCACATTGCTTTTGTTCTTTAATTATGACTATTGTTCCTGTATTTTCTAAGGAATCAAAAACTTTAATATGAAAGAATTTTAAAAACTATTATGGTATAGAGTTGGGGGTAAAATGTCATCTCRCTTCAGATTTATTTTTAACACTGTTCGCTTGGTACTTCTGAGTTTGAATTTATTTTTTCACTGGTGATAGTTATATAGTGTTTTAAAATATTACCACATTCCCCACTGCAAGTACAGCAGTGGCATTGGCACAGCAACATGAACTACTAGGTTGAATGAATTGTTTTATTAGATTTTTTACAACATTCAGGCATTCGTGTGGTTAGGAATACAGCTGATTGCGTTGAAATGTTATTAGAGAGAGGCCTTGTCTTGCTGCAAGAATAGATTGAACCTATATTTAAAAAAGGAATTTAAAAATAAGAAAAATAATCATGGAAATCATATTGTAGATATCTATTTAACAAATACTGCTAGTCTTGTAGAGTTAAAGCTAAATTATATTTAGAAAAAGTGATTTTCTCTTCACTCAAACTGGGCTAGTTTTTGGAATAGAACCAGTGATTCCTGGGCACTTGGATGAAACTTTTTTAAAGTCCAAATTATTCAAATATTTGAGGGTAATCAAACTCAATTATGATTATGAAAATCAGATTAGTGAAAATTTTAGCCTAGGATCCACTTCCTGTTGAGAAATTTTGGTTTAAAAGTGAAAAAAAAACAATAGGGCTGAGTAAATAACATAATTTATTCAATTTGGGTGCTAAAAAATTGATATTTTTATCTGCCACTGTTGAATGTTAAGATAATATATTTATCCAAGTTTCAAGTCATTTCCAATTTCCATTCATTTGCTCCTTCCACAGTTGCAGGAAAAATAAATTTTATATTTCCTTTACTCCAACCATATAGCTTACCTGGTTAAACCAGCGTGATATATTCGTATACATTTCCTTTTCTTGGGGCATCATGTGTTTTATAATACCGTGGAGGGCATAGTAAAGTATGACATCTGCAAGGGATAGTTTGTTGCCAACAAGATAGATCTTATTTGCCAGATGACAGTTGAAATCCTGAAACAAATTAGAAAAGAATTAAATAACAAAACTATATGGCTTTTCATTTTACTATTCAAAACTTGTTCTCATGGCATGGTGAAACACTAGCAACATAGAAAGAATTGATGATCCAACCAATGACAGGGCATCCATCCAACCAATGGCAGGGCAAAAGGTAATTGTCAAGCATCACAGTCAAGGTACTGTGTTAGCACATTGGTACAACAATTTTTTTACCATCCTGAAATCTGCTCAACTATCAATTCTAACCATGTTTTTCTGTGGGCTAGATTTCAATAAAGAAATTTCRACAGGGTCAAAGAGCAACTAGTCATACCTGCAAAACAGGTTTTGTTAAATTTTTGTCACGTAAAGCCTTCTCAACATCAGTCTGTCTGTACTCCAACCACTGATCAATTTCAGCTCTTTGTAAAGAAGATTCTCCCAGAAGTGGGCCATATTCCTGTAGATCCTGACATACACTTGCAATATATACAGCTACAGTCCTCATGCCTTCAACTGTTACTCCACTACTGAAGGTTAGGCTTGGTACCTGGGATTAAATAATAAACATGTTTTGATCATAAAACAGGACTGACCTTAAGACTAGCACACTATTTTTTTTTGTATGGGTATGAACACATGACATGCCAAAACACTGAAAAGGCTTCCAATAAGATGGTTTGTTGTATAAGTGGGAAACGTACAGAACTGACTTACAGCACATACACAGTATGACATGTTGCAATCCACCGCCTCCCTCCCTACGACGTAATAAAAGATTGGTCTCTTAGAGAGGTCTATATGTCACGTGTTTGCTGAGTTGGTATAAAACTTCATTTTTTCAGAAACATTCCACACCCAAAACGAGATTATAAATACACACCTTTATAGCTGAATCACTAATACATGGATTCAATTGTATTTTTTGTTTAGGAATGCCACAAAATTCGATTAAATTCTCGATCTCTAAACAACCATTGACTTGTAACATCGCGGCCGCCATCTTGAAAATATTACTAGTACTCATGCCCCGTGGCCGAGACACCACAGCTGCAAGATATTATGACGTCATTGTATTCAAAAACAATTTCAAAACAAAGAAAAGCGAAGTGAAGCGAAGATGGACGAAGCAAAAGAAACCACGATTTTTAAATAGTTTATCGCAAAAAAAAAATGCCTTTCTGAGAACGGTCGACGTAGAAATCAGTTGGTCGTACATGTTGGTAAGTTCATCACTTTTGCCCGACTTTTTTCCCGTAATTTCTTAACATAAAACAATGATAATATCAAAATTCATAAACGCGTCCATTCAAGTCAAGAATCAAAAGTCAATTCATCAATCTATTTAATTCAAAAATTCAAAGAAACCATCAAAATATACTGCTTGTCTTGCTATGATTTTGCGTCTTAAACTGAGATCTAGAGCTGTTTTAGGAAACAGGGGTTAGATTTTCAACCAGTAACCGATTATGCGATATTTTTAAAAGGAAGTTGGTGCGCGTGCGTATTAGGGTATTTAACTTTCCCGCCAATATTTAAAATATACCTTCATATAATTACAATAATTACAATACTTTAGAACATTTTGCCATCAACAGAATGCATCGAGCATTGAACCTCACTAGGTTTGATTTTTGCAAAAAGATATACGATGGGTAATAAATAATAGTTTTAATTTCTCTACAGACAAGATGGCAACGATATCGTGGCCGAGACGACGTGTACGAAACGGTCAGTAAAAAGTTAAAGAATTATTGTAGAACATTCATAAATATGCTGGGATTTGACATACAGAACGAGAAAATTTTCGTTCTTCCTTCCTTCCTTCCTTCCTTCCTTTGTCACCATTTATTCGAAAGGACGCAATCCAATCAAAAAACGTGTCGAGTCCACTATCTCATCTCATGCTGTATTTTTCTTCCTTTTCAGTCAAGAGGATCAAGCATGATCACCATCAGATACTCAACCGAGCTGCCTTGGACTCTCAGCTCCTGACATCAGTATTAGTAAGTTCATCAGCGTTGCGCATTCGTTCGTTGATATCACGTGGTGCGAACGTGAACTGCTCCAACTCCTTCGGATATACTCCTCTACTTTTAGCATTATCACGTGATGGAGATGAGCAATCAATTCACGCTGTTTCAGAGCTGTGTGAAGCTGGAGCCGACGTGAACCTTAGTAGTGATGTCTTCTACGGAGACACTCCATTACACTTCGCTTGCATGCTCAAAAGTAGCGTGTTTGCTAGGATTCTAATCGCAAATAATGCTAACGTACGCGCAAGAAATCACGCAGGTTACACACCACTTCACACAGCTGCTCTACGGGGAAACTTAGAAATCGTTAAACTACTTTGTTTGAATGGAGCTGACATTGACGCTACTGAGACGTATTGTGGGTACACTCCTCTGCACTTAGCAGCCAACGGTAACCATGACGATGCTATGATCCTCCTTGCAGAGGGCGGGGCGAATGTTTTACAGCGTGATTTTCAAGGGTTGACGCCAATTGACAGGTGTCAATCAACAAACACTAAAATTATACTTGATAGATATACTATAAGGCCAAAACGATTGGAGGAAATCTGCGTGGAAGTAATACGACATGAAACTGGAAAGTTCAGTGGGATCCCAGGTTACGACAGACTGCCTTTACCAAGGTTAATCAGAGATAAGATCCAACTTGATTTTTAACTATTTTTCTGCATTCTCACATCTTCTGAAATCTCTTTACTATGTACTATTAATTTTATCAATATCCATTGATATATATTTTATCACAAGAGAATTTACTTTATTTTAATAGGGCGTTTTCATGATGGCATCATTGACCTCTACTAGCAGACTCTCTTGCACACCAATTGTCTTGCTATTCTCATGAAGGAATACTATTTTAAATAAAAAAGAAAATTTACAAAGCAACTTGGTAGTGGGAGTCAAATGACTCCATCATGCAAACGTCCTATTTTTATTTATTGACCTTAGGATCCATTATAGCTTTGTTTTTAGTTAGTTATTTTTGTTTTGTTTTGGTTTTTTTGTTTTGTTTTTTTGTTTGTTTTTATCATTATTTCTTTAATGATGTGAATGATGTGAATATTGTGATATTATATATTGTATGCCTCCTTTTGTAAATATTTTATATCCACCTTTTAATTCCATAATTTTATTGCAATACAAAAAGATAGTTTTAGAAAAAAATATTAAATTAAATTAAGAGTATCATTAGTTGTCATTCAACCTCAATATCAAATCAATAAACTATTTGTAAATTTAATAGAATATTAACGCCCCTGTCATGTCTAGCTATATTTTATTTTTAATCTTTGGGTACATCAAGAAATAATTTACCAAGGTGTGATATCTCCTTTATAGTCAAGCCACATGCCATTCTTAGACTCATCCAGTGACTTTATCACTTCCATCATGCCTGACACACTCTCGCTAGCTGCAAGTGGAGCTTGTTCACCTCCCATGTCTGTCCTTACCCAACCAGGATCCAAGACAACGGATATGATGCCAAAGGGCTTCAAATCAACGCTCATTGATTTGGTAACAGAATTCAGAGCTGATTTACTTGCTCGATAAGGATATCTGACTCCTTTCTTGTAGTTAGTTAAAGAACCAACTAATGAAGACATATTTAGAACAGCTGCTTTTATGTAGCTCTTTTCTTCTGGGTCAGTGGCAGCCTTCTTCAACAAGGGCAGGAATGCTTGTGTTATCATTAGGGGAGCAACCGTGTTAACTTTATAGTGATCCACCATCATTTCAACCGTAACATCTTCGATACTTGGCTCTCGAAATATTATCCCAGCGTTATTTAACAAGACATTAAGGCCTTTTCCTTGAAGTTTGTCGCTAACTTCTTGGGCAACTCCTTTTATTCGTTCAAACTCAGTCACGTCCAGTTCAACAAGACAGACGTTGGAGTTTTCAGAGGCAAGTTGCTTGAGTTCTTCACAGCTTTTGGCGTTCAAGTCCCTACAGGTTGCGAAAATGTGTTCAGGAGGAGGAGAAAGCTTTAAAAATTGCTTAACAAATTCTAAACCCAGGCCGCGATTGCAGCCTGTGATGAAAATACTACGGCAAAGAGAAGTAGACGCCATTTTGTTTATTACTTAAACCACAGGAAGCCCAGGCTTTAGGGTGTGTCAAGGCTGGTAGTTTAGTGCCAATGAAAATAATATATACCGTAAATCAATGAAACGAATCAAAATAATCGTTAGTGCATAATCAGATATTACAACTATAAGAAGCAAAGTTCATCGATCAAAAAGTCCTATTGAAAAATTGCTGAACATTCTTCTTACTGCTACCAAAAGAAAATTGACTAAGAGAAGGAAACCCCGCGCCCCATCATGAGCACTCTTTGATGCTTTTTCTTAGAAACGTTGACGCTATTTTTAGAATCATGCATTTTAACGGTCGTTTTTCGGTAAATACTGCGCGCGCTCTACGTTGTTTGCTCATGTTTTCTTGTGTTTTCAAAAAAAAAAAAAAAAAAAAAAAAACGTGAGCAAACAGCGTAGAGCACCTTAGCGTAGAGCACCCGCAGTATGCGCGTGCAGTATGCGCGTGCAGTATGCGCGTGCAGAAAAACAAACGATGGCCAATGTGGCCTATAATGGTTACAAGAGCATGAATGCGAGAGACTCCTTCTCTTAGTTCATTTCCTTCTCTTGTTCGGCTACTTAATACTTGTGAATGCCATTGGCCTCCTACGCTGATTGTTTTGACAAATCCATGGCGTTTATCATGCTATTTTCTGGATCACTGAAATCTTTGATTGTCATTCTAGGATTTTACATTTTTATAATTCCTGAGTTGCTACGTCGCAAAGGACTGAAGTCACGCGCAAGTGATCGTGGATCCAGGCTGGTGCAAGAGTCTGAATCTTAGTTCACGATAATCGTTAATGATAGAAGTAAACAATTTTTTTAATCTTAAATTTTCTTTATAGGAATCTTTTCAATAACTTATAACGTCCTGTTATAGACGTTGTCAGTAGAGTTTTTGTTGTTGTGAAATTTAGCTTCGCGTAACCTAACCGCGCTCCAAGCGTATTATCTGTGCAAGATAGGAATGTCATATGACTAAAGCCATCCAAGGCACATATTATCGGAAAATAGGATTTATGTCAAAAGGAATTTAATGCGTGATGGTTTAATTTGCGTTTTGTAAGCACATCCGTTTTCCTAAGAGGGGTGGGGCCGGGGCACATGGTTAGAAACTGATCTATTGCGTTGCAATTGATTTATCTATTTGTTATTCATCTGGGATGTAATCGATAAGAGTTTGAGTAAAGTAAGAGCCTAGATGATTCGCATTATCACTGTATGGTTTTCCTTTTAAGATGCCGATGTGCATAGCTTTTATTGACCTCTTGTCGAGTTTGTGGCAATAGCATTTTGTCGCGAAAACAGATAAAATTGCCGCGAAAATATGTGTACGCGGAAATTAAGTGACCCCTTATAATGTTAATTATTAAATTAAACATTAAAAAAATATCGAATTTAATGATAAAGTTGGAATCAGTATAGGTAATGGAACTACATGCTGTTCAATTTAATTTGTAACAGAGACACATTTCGTGGATAAATTATTCGCTTCAAGAAAATTGTTCGATAGAAAATGTCAAAGATCACTCGAAGCCGGATGTTTTCGTGACATGGAAGATAAACTTGTCACTGAAAAAGCTTAAGAGATCCGCACGTCAGCAAACACGATACACGCTAGACTACGCTACCATAGCTTCCCAGTGCTTACTTTTCATCTCCGTTCGGTAATTATGTTACCCTGGTCCTAGAGGCTCGACGATTTTTCTCCCGGCCACGTATATTTTCAAAAAGGGACCAGGGTATAATTATGTTACAAAACAGGAGAAAATAAGTTGAAAGTATCTTTGAAATGTTGCTATGAAATCAAAAATTGTCGTGAGAGAATAAAGGCTATTTGACAAAGTAGGGAGTGGGTATCAGACACCCTGTCACGAAAAATATATGGATCAGAATACGGTCAGTCCGTCAGTCAGTCAGTCAGTCCTGCTGTGATTTTAATGGTTATTATTTTAAATTGCTTGCATAAGGCGAATCCTCTGTCATTTGTGCATTGTCTCCTTCTCAACATAAATGATAATGATCGACACAGTTCAACCTGGTGCAGAAAAAAAGTATCTACTGATTAAAATTCTATCGTCCTGCATGCTATCAAAAAAAGTAATTTGCTTCTTTTCTCCTCTTTTTTCCTTTTTCTTTCCTTTCCTTTTTTTTCTTCTTCTTTTTCTTCTTCTTCTTCTTCTTGTGTATCGTAGTTCTGTAGAGTTTGCAAAGAAAACGAATACCACATTGAACAAGAACTTATTAATTGTACTTGAAGATAGATTGAATCAACTGATTAATTGACCAATCATCTTACTTCGCACTTCCGGACGATGAAAAAGTCAGATAAAATCGGTCAAGCTAATAAATGTCAGATATAAGTAAATTAATAGCTGATCCATAGTGATTTCGTATCATTTTGCGTTCCTTTCTTATCAAAGAATGTCCTCTTCAGAGTGATCTAAAAACACAGGGAACCCACTTGAGATAAACTGTGATATCTAAAAATGTGTCATTAAAATGTTTATTTGGCGTGATGATTGCGCTATCACACTGGCTATAGTGAACGAACAATGAACAAAAAAATATCAGGAAAATAGTATAGGAAAACTAAATCAATTCAGCCAATCTGTATGATAATGTCTCGTAATGTTTTTCCCTCGAAAGTTTGTCATTTGTTGGGCTCCAAAATTGTGGTTTTCCTACTGATGATCCGGTAGGCACGTTTCCTTGTAAATGCTTACATAACTTTCCATATAATCCTGCTTTCCTCGTTTTGAGCTACAAGAAAGCATATGACGGGATTTCCCATTCCTGTCCAGTTAGTCGGGTCTTTGTATGTTCGAGGTCTTCTTACACCCTCTGGGCAGATGCACTGATGGCTTGTCAAGGTCAAACTCAAGCGGCTCAAATCTTCCTTATAGTTACATACGTGACTTCTGCAAGAATGTTCTCACTGTGAACTTTGAGTTACTTGAAACATAACTCGTTAATGATTAGAGGAGATGAATAGACTACAACAAGTATTCTTTATAAACATAGAGCGACGTCTAATAAACAGAACATAGTTGACAGCCGGCCCCTTGCCAACATACGTCACCACTCACGTTACAGCACACTCACCACGAATCAAATTGGGGATATACCATATGCTTGTTTTACTCAGTGTTCTTCAGTAGCGCGAGGGGAAAAAACAATAAACGGAAGAATTTCTCGCAGAAAAAAATTGACTCTACACCTATCCGTTAAAGAGGCTCACTACTGCATGGGCAGCGCAAGTGAACGAATTCTAGATTTTTTTTTCGGAACTGCTTGTTGCTGTTCATTTTTCTTCAAGGGAAGAATACTATGGATCGGACTCCAGAATTTTCCGGGAAAACGTTTAGTGATCAAGAAGGCTGAGAACTGAGACGGGCAAGTTATACATATAATACATGAGTGTACTGGATTTCAAGTGGCGAGGTATTCCGAACTGATTTTTTAGCTTGCCGAGTGTGCGCTAATTAAGTGCATAACAAGCCATTGATAGATCGGTTGGGGACATGTTTCAGGAACATTTCTTATTGTGCGACGTTTCTTTTATATGGAAAAAGCCTGTTTCACGTACTAAATACAGCGTTTACTTGTATGATAGTGGATCTACTACTAACCAAAATCCTTTGCGCACAAGGAAAGGAACGTGCTGGTCGAGCTTTGCAGCAGAGCAAAGCTGTATTAGGCCAGATATTCTATAGTCTAGTTCGAGCAGCTTGACTGCTTGCTGAGCAGTTTTCATCTGAGTGGGAAACGATATACGGCAAATCAGTTCGTAGCTGTTCAGTTCGTTGACTGAGCCGTACCGTATCTTACCGTAGGCGTAACTGCGCACGTTGAGATTAGATGAATTACTGGAAGACGATTGGAAGCCCGGGGGGAAGCCATTCCAATATTACGACATTTCGTACCGTATTTTTCTCCTGTCACTCTTACCACAAACGCTCTAATGGTGTTAGAGCTGCTGCGCAGTTTGAATTCACGAGGAACTTAATGATGAGTAATGTTAATGCCCCATGGGTTATGCTGCCAAGCACGCGTACAGGATGATGGTACACTACCACATGCGGGCAGACAGGATGGYACTACCACTGACCAGAGTACTCAATTAAAGACAAATCCGTTTTTTTCTGACTTTTCAATGTCGCATCTGCGGTGCGCCCTAATTTCCCTCTGAGTCATTGACAATACGTTGCAAACTAAACTTGAACACAAAAAAACTCTTTCTTCGCGAACCTCTTTATTTATAGCAGTATTGTATCCGCGACATACTTTATATACTTCATATTTTTTGGGCTCACATGATCACAGGATCTCCGGTGATTAGCAAAACAAGACCAGGCATGTAGTACTACAGATAGGGTGGTGATAGACAGGTGCTAAGGGTGAAGCGATCACTTCATCTCGGATGGATGGAAAAACACAGGTCAAAATAAAAACCAAAACAACAGTGCTTTGCATTGTGCATCAAGCTCGCTGAAAGAGGACCGACTCAAGTCAAAGGTCTATTTTGGAAAGATTTGTTTTTCGCGACACTTATTTGCATGAAAATTGAAATGGCGGTAACGTATAGCTGGTGACACTTTGGTTGCGTAAAAGACGTGTTATCATATGACTTACTTCAAATATTACAGCGCGTGTGAATCCTGAGGAAAGAAGTTAAGTCAGCTCTAGTAGAGGATTGTATTAAAAAAATTTCATTCATTTTCCAAACAGTTGTTTTTTTATGCGGTGTTTACTAATGAACTAAAATATTCTTCTAGTGCTAAAAACATTTGGTCGAAAATATCGTTATCTATAAAGTTATGAAATGCCTACGAGTAAGTACTTAGGATCTTTACTCAAGTTACAGAAAATGCAGTACAGAGCCTACTGTTGCGACAACGAGAGGCAAGTAGTGACACGCGCGCGCAAAGGGATAATATTCCACATTTCTCCTGGTCGGAGCTTGCGAGATAATCAGTACAATATCTGTAAGTCAAGAGGCGTATTTCCTACTTTTGTCGTGTTTTGACTTAGCTAATCATAGAAAGACGAGAAGAACGGGTCTGGCTTTTGGTAAATTCGTCTCGCTATCAGCCGTTGATTCAACTGTTAAATAAATTCAAAAGAAAAGAATGATATTACAATATAAGAGTAAGCGGTTTTTAAAAGGGTATTTTCACATTTATCTTTTTGCTGGTTTACGCATTAGTTTTTCAATAGGTTTTAAAAACGTAAGCTCTGTCACTTTATTCCCGCGGCTCAGCCGATGGAACTGATATTCAGTTAAAATATAGGTATAAAGTCTCGACAAACATATTTGTATGACGGACAAAGTCTAAATGACTCGCCATTCAATCCTCAAAAAGACAAAAGCCCAATATGAAAATAAATATCGAAATTCTACGCTTGGAATTTATATTTAAAGGGCTAACTGGTGGTTTTGGGTTTTGCCGGTGTTTGTTTTCAAGTGTGTTGTCGCTCGGAACACGTGCGCTTCTTTCCCTGTCAAGCTGCTTTCAAACCTTCGCTACTTAATCGTTTAGAATAACAAACTCTGTTGCCGAAACACTACAGGAAACGACTGTTTTCCTTTGAGTGAATCAGAGTCGTAACGAGACTGTTGTGTGAAATTAGATAGTTATTTGGACCTCTTGTTTGAATTTGAATATGTCGTTATATGGATAAGCCTGATAGAATATTTATAACAAAATTAAGTTGAAATTAATGTGTGTTTTAAGAAAAGATTGATACTTGGTTGTTACAATAAATTCGAAAGTAATAATTAGGATCACAACCGTTTTAACGAGGATTTTAATTCTAAACATGTAAATAGAAACTGCTCAAAGCTGTCATTTGACAGCGTGACGTGATCTTCTTGCGTGACGCGGATCTCCAGTTTTTTTTCCTGTTTGGTTTGGAAGTGTTCAAAAAAATTAGAACCGCAAAATCGCATATCTACATCTCATTTCTTAACAACTCCTGGAGAAATAATTGGCCATTTTTGTATTTCACGTAAGGGCTTCAAAACTCGTAATTTGAGCTAGATTAAAGTGATAAAATTAAAATCGGTCTTAATGCAATTAACGCTTATAGAAAATCAAAACAATTTTGTCTTAAACAGTCTTTGGTTGCGTGTCTTTTCCGTAAGGAGAGGAGAAACCCTAAAATGTCTTCTGTCAGGTAGAATGTTCATTTATAATCTCAGAATACAGACGAAAAGCTCTTCACTGCTGTGGAAACAAGACCGTTGATCCTCCCTTGATCATTGACAAGCACATGTAAAGTCATATTTCATCTCGTGGGGAAGCAAAAAAACAGCTCGTAAATTATCACGAAAAAGAGGAAAATAAAGAATGACTATTAAAGGAGAGTTGGAGTACTTATGTCCGTTGTTTGCCTGATCTTGTAGATTTTGTCCGATTAGGAAACATTATAGATACTAAGAGATAATTTGTAGTGTAAAACGAGCAGCACACAGCAGGTTATAATGACATATTCTATTCCACATGGCTTTCCGAAATGTCAATAACTACTAGTAACAAAAAGAACAAGAAAAATGTCATTAGAATTTCTCACAAATATTCGACCTGCTTCATTTTCCATTCTTTCGTCTATTTTTTCTCCCTTCAAAAGACGTATTTCTGAGCGCATTTTCCAGTTAATCTCGGGCTCACCAAGACCGAGCTAGCCGTCAGTCTAATTTGAGGCTGGATAAACTTGACGGATGACACTCATCCGAGAACGTTTTTCAAAATTTTCTCAAATTTCTACTTCGTTTTAAACAAGTTTAGTTGAAGCATGGCAGGAAGTCTAGATTTGGCTAGAAAAGCCTTCAAGGAGGCCATGAAAGTCAAGGTCTTTTAATATAAGTGTACTTTAGTTTCTAAGGATTCAGTCGTCTGGGAAGCCGGTTGGTGGCTGATATCATGGCAGAGGCGGAGGGCAACAGGTCAGATATTCGGAAAGAAAGTGAGATCTTGTAGTCTACACGTCTAAAATGGAAGTGAACACCCAAGAAGGGAGGGACAAATAAATAAAGCCTGTCGAAGAAGAGATATAGAATATGATCCATGTCTAATACTGTCAAAGGCACAAGGGGGTGGGTTCAAAAAAAGTTGTAGCCAGAGTTTGGTCACGCCAAAAGATAGCCTTGTTTAAGCTTAAGGTTCATAGCTAACTTTGTATCATTTGATACCAAGTGTCTATCAAAAAGTTCTTGTTTAAGCAGCCTATTTACTCAGGGCCCGAGCAAAACAAAGAATGATATGCATATTGCTGTGATGGTCCAAATTGGTGATTACCATAAATCTGCCCACAATTTGCCCTCCGTTATCGCCCCCGAACAAGATTTTGAGTGAGTATTCCTCGTCCAAACACGAACAGACACGTTTTTGGGGTTAGTAAAACAACACTGAGAACGCACAACAAGCTTTTGTGATGTCAACTTCACATTTTCTTTTTCTATAGTATGACAATTTATAATTCATTACATTGTACAATGAAGCCCCGGCACAATAACATACCCTGAATTTGTTTTATCGATTCAAAATCAACAAGTTAACATGACAAAGACTGGACTTCTTGGAGACATTTTTTATGTTCTCGTCGAAATGCCTCGGTGTTCAAAGCCACTTCTACCAATAAATTTATGCTACTAAATCCATCGAAATCCTGATCTAAATCGTCGTCCTCGCCTGTTGAGGAGGGTGGAGAGGGCTGTGCCTCCAGACTGTCTTTAGAAAACTGATACGAGTTCGACCTATCCATCTCATAATAGTCTAAATTATGTCCTTCATAGCCACAAATTGGGCTTGATATTAATGACTCCCTGTCCTCATCTGAGTAAGATTTTTCGTATTCTTTGGAAATTTCGGACACACTTCGTTGAAATGTGGAGCCATGACTCTTCATATTTGCTCGTCTTGTGATTGTGTAGTTACTCGGGTCTCGACCCTCTCTCCGAATCATGTCGGGGAGAATTCTTCTTCTTGCATTGATAAACCAATTACATACTTGGAGAACTGAGAGGTTAGCAGCCTTAGAAAGATACTGCTTTTCGGCTTCCGAAGGATACGCATTGAATCTGTGTTCCCATAACCATAAACGCAAAACATTGACAGAATCTTTTGGAAGGTTGCCTCTTCGTCGCTTGGGGCTCGTATGGGCACGTGAACGGCTTTCATTTTCTTCTCTGTCGCTATCCATATCGTCTCCTGTAGACGGAGATAATGAGTTAAAAGATTAATAAATATATTTAGAGGGTAGCCTGATAAGGGCATTATAATAACTAAGCTCAGAGCTAGTTGGCATTCTTCTAAAGACTACAATATTCAGTGTCTATTGATCTCAAAAGAGCTGTCATCAAAGTCGCTGGAGCAGTTCAAATCACGACAGAAATTTGTTTAAGAAACACACGTCTTGCTCACTTACTATCAGACAATGCAAACTCCCTACACAGAAAAATGAAGTCAACTTCTTCAAAAGCAAACTTGATTTTGTTCAAACAGGAAAAATCCCAGAGCGTTCGTCGTCAATCCTTTTGACATTAGTCCTCATTCATTTAAGATGCGTTGTACATTTGAACGGTTTGAAGGTATGAGTGGCTCGCGTCTAATTTGTGACTTACCGTATCTCTTGTTGCGATTCGTCCGGGCCGAATGAGGCGGCATAACTCCTGAAACTATTTTCCTGCACTGTCCCTTGTTAGCACTAGGTTGAAATGGGGAAATATCAAGAGTTTGATGCTAGAACAAGAAGTGTTTGCGAAACCTGCACCGAAGCCGAACTGACTTTGACACTAATGACAGATGAAAGCGTGTATGCGGCAGTGCGTTGCCCTATGTTTGTGTAATTTACAATATATTGACGACTTCTGATTGGCTAGTTTTGACAATCTGTTTAAATGGAGCTCGCATTTCATTGGCTTCTGCAAGCAACTGGGAAAATTTTCCACGTGGAACTACCATATACGAGGGTTTTATTTACTTCGTTTTTACACTTTTTATTCCTCCTTCAGAGGTGATATTTTTTGTATTTGTTCTATTGTAATTGCCATCCCACCTACGTTCCTCTTTCGTTTTTCATCTGTTTTGACACATCTTGAAGGATTGGATTTTTCAGCTTTGATGACCTGTCTTGAAAACTTATAACTAGTTTTACTCAACTAATATGACTTAACAACAGCTAAAATTGGCTGTGATATAGCTTACAAAACCGTTGTGTTTAGAAAAAGGTGATAAAGACTTAGACAAATTATGAATTTTCAATGCAATAACATAGGATATCCTATTATTACTCAAAGTTTCAACCACCTTGTAGCAAAACTATAACCATTTCGAAAATACCCCTGACAAGGAACGCTATATTCAAATCCAGTACGAATATTTTTCATGGATCGTCAACTACCAAGGTCTAAAATAGCAATAATTTCAAGATCTTTTTGAGGTTACCACAGCAACAGTTGAGCTCGTTACGAACGTGCTTCTTATTGGAGCAGTGTCTTTACAATGGCTTTTCAATGCATATAGTGGTTTTACCGAGAAACAAAAGTTCGTCAACCAGCCGTGCCAAAATTGGTTTTCTGTCAAACCAACTGATCACCCGACAGTATTTTACTTGACCATAGCTCTCAATTCTGAAGGTTTAGGACTCAAAATCCAAGCTTTTGAGATAAATGTTAAGATCTAGTTTCAATGTTAAATCATCTGAACCAACATAATTTTTTCTTTCTTTCAAGTCAGCTTTGACAGTTAGTTCATACATTATTCAACCTTTCACCTCCTACGCTCTTCTCTCAAAATTCCTAACGCGTCGCGCTTGCAGCCAACCCATCTATCCACCGCATACTATCGATAACCATCAAAATTTCTTTTCTACTTAAAACCCAAAAGACTTACAATGAAAGAGCGCCATATGTTCTAAGTCACCTTGTAAAAAAAGGGACTTTTTAGAAAAGTTTCTTTTCAGTGTAACACCTACATCAACAGCTTAGATCAAAAAGATGCTATCTAGTCAACTTTGTCTATTTTTCTTAACACTTCTTAGACTTGGCAAGCTTCTTTTTGTATATAAGAAGCATATGGCGTACAATTACTGCTTGAACCATGTTTTCTGGAGTCTTTTTTACGGCTTTGCCGTTACCCTGGTGTAGTAGAAGCTGAACAATTATGCTTTCATGAATCTAATTAGAAACTCATTTGGGCCGGATATTGCTTTAAGATAGCCCTCTTGTTCACTTGGCGATCAATTTTAAGCTCAAATAAGAAACATTTCCATACTCGGTCTCTAAGAACTATGGCAACGAAGCCTGATCAATCAAACTGTTTGAAATTAATGGTCGATCTTAAAGTTTTTACTAGCAATATCAAATGAAAAATCGCTATCGTAAAATATATTTTTCCTACGAGGGTGTTAAAAATGGATTACACCAGAAACAGCACAAATTTATTTATTTTTAAATGTTACTAAATAGCTTTTATAACTTCACGTTATCACATAGTGACTAGGCTTTGTAAATATCAATCTTTTGAATTGTAATATTGTATATAATTTGAAAGATTTCTTCCAGTTTTTTTCCTAAACTCCCGATCTAGATAAACTGGGGCTTCCAGATATGACAAAAAGTTCCGGATGTCTAAAGAATCCGCTAAAGGAAACGTAATATTCAGTTTTCATGACCATTCTTCAAAAATCACGACAACGACTTTGACATACAATGGAAGTCTTGAAGATGACAGGTACATTGACAGTGCAGTGGAGTACGTTATGCATGACAACTTGTTTATAAAATACAAATGCATTAATTCCGTGACATACACTTGCGTGACAGTGTCCCGAATTACGGAACGCATCAGCGGTAGAAAACTACTGAAGCATGCGTAGCCGTCCACGTTGTGCAAAACAACATGGCGGGCAGTTCGAATGTAAAAGAACTCCAAATAGACATTCAAACTCGGTCTATATCTCCAAATGGCGATAGTTCTGGAAGCACAGAGAGGTACTAGTACTTCTACTAATATTCTCGCTTCTATGCTAACAAATTTTTCGAGCGTCTTACTCGATTTTGCGTGTGTTTTTCAGCATTGAAGAGCGGCCACACTTAACCCCTTCATCTCCCATGAAACCAAAGTCCAGCAATGTAATGGTCTTTCGAAGAAGCAATAAAACTGTCTACACTGCTGGTGGGTTTAAAATATTTTTATCAAGCAGTTTTTTTTAGTGCAATTCACTGGGTTCTTAAGCAAGCACAAATATGATGTCTTGCTTCATGGACCAAGGAGTTACAATATCACGCGATATCACTAACTTCATTATTTAATTAAATAGCTTACTTGCAGCTTTAATATCGAGTATTAAATTTACTAAAATTGTTCCTTTCCCCCCGAATTTTGCACCAAAATAGGAACCTCTTATAATCTATCAATTTAGTGTTGGGTTGCAAGCATTCCCAAGAGAGTCAAAAGACAATAACATGGGGCCATTTTGGTGCCGTATAACAATGGCTAAAGAGAAATATTTTGTTAAATGGCACCAACTTTCCCACCAGAGGCCGTGACGACGTAACGTGCAATCGAAGATTTATTTTTTAAAACATATATGAATGAATGAATAGTGTGCAGAATAATAACTGTTAATCATTATGCTAATTAATCGTCTAGAAGTCAGGCTCCTGTGAGTTCGAATCAGGGAATATGGCTCGCATAATCACATTATTAAAGCATCAAAATAAGCACTTACAACTTACTAGTGCATGGATCACTTGATATCCACATAGATGTTTTGCAAGTCAATTTTGTAAGAGGAAAAGGAAAAAAATGCATTTTTTCCTCATTCCTAATTAAATATAATATTATGCTCTGACTGGATTATAGGTTACCTTTGACTTTGTATGATGTCGTGATTAACGCTCAATTTGCACTTCGTAGATATTTATTTTAAAACTACAATAACTACAACATCCATAAATATAGTTTGAATAAAAAATGAAATAAAATGATATGCCACTGCTTACTATATAGTACAAACTTGCTTGAAGCATCCAGCTTGCATGGGTCGGCAAACATACACTACTTTTTAAAAAAACTAGTTCATATTACCAATTTTTCCTTTCCTTTATTTAAAAAAATTGAAATTTTTACTGGCTATTACATAGTAGCATGTAAATTTTGACAGTGAAAACATTATTATTATTATTCATTATTATTTAATATATAATTTTAGGTCGTCCTCCATGGTATAACTCCCAAGGGCAGCTAAAGGAAGCATTTGTCATTGGTGAGCTATTTATTAAAAATAAATGGAACCCTGGAAAAATGGTAAACCAGTCACTAGAATTTGTAATGGAGAAAAGACATCAAAGAATCTTAAATGAAATAAAAGCTATACCCTTTAATAAAATATAGAAATAGAATTCCTTCCCTTTTGAATCTCCAAGCTGAATTTCTTAAGATTATGCCATTGGGATTTCAGTGTTTTTCATTTATTTAAGTGGTTGAAATAAGTATTGTCAAAATGGAAGCATGGCGTGGAACTTTCATTTCTAGGACTTTGTGGAGGGAGTGCCTCGGGAAAGACAACAGTGGCAACAAACATTATAGAAGAGCTTGGAGTACCATGGGTGAACATGTTATCGCTAGATTCCTTTTACAAGGTACTTAGCTCATTTATAATATGCTCTTAATTCTTAAGAGAACCAGTATCCTAATTTATTTTTATTCTTCTACTTGCACTTATTTATGCACAGGACTTAAAATAACCGTTGATCAATCACTGAGTCACAATTACAGGCCAAATTAGTTTTACAATTGCTTAGTCATACCTCATTTCTGGCTAATCATTACTGTTAAAAATGACTAGCAAAGGAAAGATTTGACTGTTCAATGTCCAGCCATTAATTTAAGCCCTGTTTGTATGTTGAAATTACTGAAAAAGAAGAAAACTTCTCTTAAAAAAATATAGATATAATATATATATATATTATAAATCTGTTTTCAGGTCTTAACCAAAGAACAACATGAACAAGCAAACAATAATGAATATAATTTTGACCATCCCGGTAAGAACAAAAGAATTGTTGATAATACAACAGCTAATTCAAAAAAGGTTAGTGAAGGTCTTGTTGCATGTTGCGCACCAAGCCTGAAAAGCACTTCGGTGATGTGAATCCAACCAGTGAAAGGTCACAACAATATTACTTTTTCCCAAACTTTGTCTACATGTTTTTCCGGTATATTGTCTTCTGTGCTGTCATTATTTACATATGAATATAATAGATTTCAAGCTTAGTAAATGCAACATTCAACATGCAGCTTATAACAGGGTACATGCAACAAGACCCTCATTATTTAAGTATGAATATAATAGATTTCAAGCTTAGTAAATGCAACATTCAACATGCAGCTTATAACAGGGTACATGCAACAAGACCCCAACCAACCTTGTCTGGAATAGCTGTATATTATTGGGTGCTACTGCAGGGGAACACATTAGATGAATTGGGTGTATTATCATGCACCTTGGGGTGCTAATAGTATATCCATAGGGTTAAAGTATGGTTATATTGAATATCCTGGGCAAACAAACTTATTTWGTCACTTTTCTTTTGGGATCTTTAACCAGATGTTCCTATGTCTAATTGGATACTTAAACACTAGAAGTTCCGACAATCCATTTTTCTAAACTATAAATTTTAGGATATTTTAGCAAATTAAAATATAATTCACATAATAACTAAAGATGAACTAGCTCAGTAGGGGTATTCTTACTAGTTCTCTTGTTTGAAAGTTATATTGGATCAGTTTTCCAACAGAAGCCATTTAAAACTGTTTTTATAAGCCTGTCATTTCATTAGACAATGTGGAATTGTTTTCTAGTATCTCATTTCTGTAAGCTCTGTATTATGAGCAGGTAACAAAACAACTAGGAAAGATAAGAAATTCTAATAATGTGAATCTTACTTCTAATTTGCCCAGGCTTTTCTCAAATCTATTACTTTTTATTGGTAATATTATGTGTAGTTATATAGTTATATTTCAGACAAACAATAAGCATACCATTAACTTAGAAATAATGCCATTAACTATTCAACTATGGTTAATGTGTTGCTCAATAATAATATGAGTCAAAAGTTGTGTTCTATGCTATAATAAAAACCACTTCTACTAGATACCAATCTTATTAGTAAGATTACTATTAACACTCTTTCTAACTTGTAACCCTGCTATCTGTAAATCTAATGAATATAGGAGCCAAACCTCTTGATATTATATGATTGATCATTTAGGACTTTATCCAAGTAGTTAGTAGTCTATTGACAATAGTCTTTGTTTGTCTATTGTTAATTTCGACTCTAATCTATACATGTAATACTGATATCACATGCCGTATATCTTGATTTATCAATGTTAACTGTACTGGTTAAAATAATTTTGAAGACATATTTTGTAGGATGCTGAAAAAGGGTGAAAAAGTAGATTGTTTGCGAGAGTCTGGTCTTTAAGAGTTGTGATATTGAAATCCTTGGTGCTTAAATCCTTTGTTAATGGCTGAAGACAAAGGAAAAGTTTTAATTAGTCATTAGATTTTATCTAATCAGGGTATGATGAAAAGGTAAATTATACACCGTGAAAAGATGAAAAAACTTACTGACGTTTCGGACGCTAGTCCTTCGTCGGAGTTTTTTACTCCGACGAAGGACTAGCGTCCGAAACGTCAGTAAGTTTTTTCATCTTTTCACGGTGTATAATTTACCTTTTCATCATTACTGTTTCATTAGAAACACCGATGCAGCTCACACTAGTTTGTAGCTAGTTATATCTTTCTAATCAGGGTATGTTGATTTCTGAGTATTGAGGTTAATCCAGGTTTCTGGTGGGCCGAGTCCAAGTAACAAGAAACTTTACATTTTTCACATAGACAGCAATTCTGCAATCAAGGACACTAGTATTCATAAACACAGTTCAAGCATAGTTCAGCATTTCAATAGAATGTGAAACAAAAGGCACAAAATGCATTGATCAATGTCGTGCATGATTTCTTATGACATTTGTTGATATTGTTTATTGTGTTGCGTTATGATAATTTTAATCTCATAAGTGCTTAATAAAAATATAGATTCACGGTCCTAACACCAATAAGGTATAACTAGGCTTGGTTACCAACAGCACATACCAAAGAATGGGGATATTGTTCATGAATATAATGCTTTTAACGCCTTAAGATAGATGTGTAGCAAAGTCTCTTAAATGACTCTTAATTGGAAGATTCACAAAACCATTTCTATGTTGTTTTTTWAAATTTTTATTACAAGAGATTTAAATGCTATCGTATTATTATTTTTATTAGTAGTAGTATTAGTATTATAATATCATATTTTTGAAAATCTCAGTGACATCCATTATCTAAATTGCCAAGACCTCATATATGGATATTTCAAGATGTTGATATCACACATTGGCATAATAATTTATCACAGGATTTAATACTAGATGTCAAAATATCTAAGACATTTTAGAAAATGCTACCTTGATATTGATTGAAGTGGAATCTATTTTGCTAACTGTGGCTAGATGTCTTTTCATTGGCCAATGACTTATGAACGATGATAAATCACCTTTACAACTCTACCCCATGAGAGAATAATTATTGTAGATTTTACTAAAAACAAGTTATAGGATCATTATACTTTATGGGAAGCATGGGTAGTATAGTGGTACATTATTTTATAAGTGCTTGTTTGACCTGGACGCAAACAAGGAGAATAACACATTAAACCAACTACACAAATCAAACCTGTGACCTAAGCCATAAGCTTCACAGCAGTGAAAGCCAGGTCTTTGTTAAGTTTTAAATTAATAGGAAAAGATCATGAACTAGACTGAGAGTACCAGCAAGGTTTTGAAATATTAGGAAAATATCATGGTAGTTTAATCTGGAGAATTTTGTTCAGTTATCAGAGGATTTCTGATCTCTGACCCTTATTAACGACAATGTGAAAGGTGTTCCACCTGTTCCATACAAAGTTGTGTCTGGAAGCAGAATTCAAGGAAAAACTGCGCAACATCCTCTTTAACCATTGTAGGTTTCATTTTCCAATCGCATGTTTTAACTGCACTGTAACGGAAATTTAACTTCCTTTTATTGTTTCATGCATGTTCCTGTTTTCAAACATTTCCTATATTCAATCAAAAWTTTTTCAGCTTTTGTGACAGCTTGGTTTAATTAATAATAAATAAAAAAATCATTTTTAAGCTTTAATAGTTGAAATTATTTTTGGCAAAAAATAAAATCTCCCAAATTTCCACTCTTTCTTATATGCATTAATGTAGTCTTCCACATTCTGCRAACTCAGACATTTCAACGGCTTGTTATAAAATTGGTTTTTTACTGCCGCCAGTAAAGAACATAAAAGGTTCTGATTCTTTTTTATTGATGGCAGCGAAAAACCAAATTTCAACATGTAGCTTGTAACTACTGAGTTCGCAGAATATCGAAAACAACAGTAAAACATACATGTATTTTTGACAATCACTACCATTGTCTAGTTGTCATTATTTGCCTCATAAACAAAAATTGTGACATTTTCTCAAGAAAAATAAAGCTTTGAAATATGGCAGTAGAGCAGTGAAAATTAAAGTCCAAGTCTCCTGATTTAAATTTTTAAAGTTGTTTTTGATTTGAAAATTATGAGCAAGAGTATAAATTGGCTGTATTTGTTTTGGCTGTTTTAAAGACCCAACTGCTACCTGAATTAAATTTTTTAAAGAAGCCATTGTTTCCTAGAACCCATCAGAGAGTCTAGAAATTCTCAAAAATTCTCATGCTTTTGTTTGCTTTTCACGTAATAATTATTATTTTCCAAAAATCATCACTAAATCTGCAAATATTGAATAACAAAACATTCTAATTTCTACTGATATTAACTAATAATCATTATATTTTAAAAAGGTTTTGCATTAATTCTTGAAAATCCAAACTAAGAATAGACATTAACAATAGCACTCACCCCCCCCCCCAAATAGTAAAACAGTATTGCTAAAATGTTCAATATTGAATCCCAAAATATCCTAAAATTCTTGATGTCAACAAATAACAATTGATACTTTTTAAAAATAATCTTGATTTTTTAATACGTTTTGGAGAAATTTACCAAATTTAAACATTTTGACAGATGCTGTTTGTTTAAAATTGTCATATTGATTTGTAAAAATCAAAGAAGTGTTTTGCATGTTGATAAAAATCAATGTTGTGTTTTTCAGAAATCATTTGGCTGCTTTGTCAACAAGTTTGCTTTCATATTTAAAGAATAATCCATTTTAAATAAAAACTCTTCGGAAACTATTCCTTTTATGTTCCCAATTTGAAATAATTACAAAAATAAAATGAATAATTTTCAGTTTTTGGAAGCTTATTGCTATGTTCGATGACAAGTTGGTTAGTCAATTTTAAAATCTTTGATAATTCTTTTTCTCTAAAGCCTTCATTTCAAAAGCAAGGAAATTTATCAGCTGATTGAAGCATCCTTTACTCCAGTTTTTATTATATTTTATTGGCTTAAGATTTTCTATAAAATTTAATTATAATCCCCACTTGTCATTTTATGACATCATGGTACAGATTAAAGGTTGTTTATTTTTTTATTTGTAATTAGCTTTGGAAGAAAATTAAAAATTTTGGTGCTTAATCCTTCATTTCTGATGAAACAACATTTTCTAATATTAATAAGAAACTGACCGTATTTTCATGCTTTATGGCTCTTAAAATGCATGTAGATTTAGTAGTCTCTTAAGATTGCAATTCATAAGACTAGATGTCATTAAATTTTAATTTTTTTTTTATTTTGCAAATATCTTTTTTTTAGTTGTCACTAGTTTATTATATTGTCATTGTTTTACTATAAAACATTAGAATCTTCTCTTAGGGGCTGAATGGTCCAAGTAAGAATTTATGAGACTGCGACACTTAGGCCAAAATTCATTTAGGCACGGAATCCGAGACAATGATTCCAAGGGGGAAATCTTGACTTTGAGAAGGCAATAAAACAAGCAAGAAAATTTTGTCTTTTTACCACTATTTTCCATAAACAGAGCAAGTTTTAACATATGACAGAAAATTATGTTTTTCCTTTCCTTCCTGTTCTAAATTCTATCTTTCCAATTTTCTATTTTTATTGTTTAATTTTATCTTCAAACTCTTAAGGTGGTCACGATGATTTATTTTGCCCTTCCCTCCATTCATCTTCTCTGTTCAAGATTCTTGATAATACTTGAATTTTATCTTGAAAGTTGTTCTAGTTCCTGTCATAATTGCTGTAGGATAGCAGGAAGTTAGTCTATCTCCCAAAATTCCCATGATTGTTTTTTTCTTTTCAAACTACAGCCTCTAGGTGTCTGATAATGACAAGCACCCTAAAGGCAGAAAAAAAGGCAGAAAAATATTTTCATTAGATCTCCTCAGAATAAAATCTCCTCATCATATATTCTTTAAATATTGCTGTTTATTTTATTTTACCAATAACTATTGCTTAGCAACCATCTTGCCACCTCTGATATTTTCTTGTCAGGTTGATAAGGTCTCTTGTGTACCTGTGGTCTTCTGTTCAAAAAATATTTTTAGATTTTATTACTTCTAAGCTTAAGGTTAACTTCATGTCGGAAGTTTRCCCTTGTCGCTGATTTGGGAATTATTTAATTCAGAAATTTTTGAAATAAAATAATTGTCATAGGATGATTATAATATTGGTAGAGATTTGTTTTACATGTAAAAAGCTTATGGTGCAAAAATGCTATGGTTAAATTTGAATACATATATAAAGGTTTTCTACAATATTATACCATAGCAGAAAAATATATCAATATTAGTTTTTGCTTTTTAGATGCTTTTGACGCTACTCTTGCTTGTAAAGTTTTAAGAAGATTAAAGAAAGGAAAAAGTGTGCAGGTACTACATACAAATAAAAGATCATTTCTTTGATGATTATTGGTGGTTTTAGAGCTAAAATACCAAGAGATTCTGTGCCATGAATAAGGATACTTCTCTTACATTTTGCAATAGAGGCTTTGCACCACCACGTGACGGCAGCCATGTAAGATGGGAGGAACAACACAATCTTCTTACAAAAGAAAGAATTCACTTGATGGTGCAAAGCCTCAATATAAAATCAATTTGAGTGTTGGAAAAATAAAAAAACTAATTTTTTAAAAAGCGTCAAATTTTTTTGGGAAAAGGGGGTGGTATTTGTCAGATTTTTGAAAAGTCAATAAAAAATCTATAAAGCTGAAGATAGCTGAAGACAGAGTAATTAACTCTGCATGAAAAATAGGTTTATTTTACTGAGTTTCATAGGAGGATTTAATTTTTTAATGTGTGTGTTTTTTTAATGCTTTGCAGATTCCAGTTTATGACTTTAAAAATCACAGCCGATCTACAGAAAGGGTGAGATTCAATTCTGTACTTTGTGTTGAGTTGTTGAGTTTGGGTAGATTCAAAATTACTCATCTGGAATTCAAAGAAGCTTTTGATGTTGATGCCCCTACCCCAACCTCATATGCCCACATGTAGTGAATCTGTTTGGTTTCTGTCTCTCTTGCAGAAAGATTTATATGGAGCCAATGTGATTATCTTTGAGGGGATCATGACATTTGCCTACAAGGAGCTTAGAGATGTTAGTAATAAAAAATATAATTATCAATTTATTTATTTCTAATACATTGCTAGTACAAACCCAGCCATGTCCTGATGGAAGAGTAGGATTTCCAAGCAGAGGGGGTTGATTTTAAGCCTCACCCATCTCCAACTACACCCTAATGGAATGGCAGGGAGGAGGGGGGTGGGAATGAATTGGTGGTATACTGGGTCTCAAGCCTTATGGAAGCAGGATGCTGATCTTGAGACCAATTTTTTGTGTGTATTGGCAGCATTTATGTTAAAACCTTTGCGTGAATCTCTTAGTGTGTGCTGTTTTGACTTACTCACCCTGATTAATAAACTAGCTGCAATACCATCCTTTCAACCTTTATGCTTAATTATGAAAGGAAAAAAAGTTTATTTTTAGAGTAAAAAAAAACTGTCATTTTTTTTAGTTAATGGACTTGAAGGTGTTTGTTGACACAGATCCTGACATAAGACTAGCCAGAAGGTAAGCAGGAATCTAGAGTAGCATAATGGTTGTGCACTTGGCTCTCATCTCTAAGGTCTCAAGTTCTCAGACTCTGAATCACTTGTGAGTAGAGTATTTTAGGTCTCTCTCTTGATTTAAGGGTTTTTCTCGGCAGGGCAGAAAAACGAAAACCCCGCTACTTTCACAAGTTTTTATTTAATACTCCAAATTTTTAAGCATTTCATTTGTTTCACTGCTGCTCGAAACTTGTGACAAAATTTTGTCGAATTCAAAGAGTAAATCTACTTAGTATTCATAAAAATGTCAGTTTTACTGCTGATCAAAATATCACCTCTCCCAAAGTACACGGCTTTATATCTTGAATATGCATTCAATAGATTTTGGTCGCATTTTTTATTTCGCTATTTGGCTCCAAAGAAGGTGTTTACAAAATATTGAGCTTAAATACGTAAAAAGCTATCCTTATGGTGAAAGACCAAAAACGTTTTTTCTGCCCTGTCGTTTTTCTCTGTGTTCTCCAGTTTTCCTCCCTCCATGAAACCTAACACAAAATTACAAGTACTTGAAAAAAAAGTATAAAAAAAGGGATTTCTATTTCACTTCGAGAAACATGAAAACAATAACTAAGGTTTTTCACTTAATTTCAGGTTAAAAAGGGATATAACAGAGAGGGGAAGAGAATTATCTGGAGTGTTACATCAATATAACGCATTTGTGAAGCCTGTAAGTAGGAATGATGATGGAACTTCTTACCTTTTGTAGACTTATTTACCCAGGTTAAGCCTCATTTTAGGATCAAAATATTTAATAGAATGTACCAATTCAATGTTTAATAGAAATACTTTGACATTTGATGAACCTTTACTGCAATAAGTTATTTGGAACAGTATTTGAAACTGGAGTACTGCAAGATAGTGATATTCGTTATTATAGCACGATTTACTAACTATCATTCTTCTTTTTCTGCTTATTCTGTTTTAGTCATTTGATAAATACATAGCACCAACAGTCAACTATGCAGATATTGTCGTCCCTCGAGGTATTTAAAGCCTATTATGTGGCCTAGTTATTCTATCTACTTACGAAACAACTGACTGACTGACTGACTGACTGACTGACTGACTGACTGACAGACGGACGGACGGACTGACTGACTGACTGACTGACTGACTGACTGACTGTTTGGTTTCCCCTTGAAAGGATTCTAGTTGTGTTCTTTGGACTTCTAAACACTGCATTTATTACCTCTAGGTGGAGAAAATGATGTAGCAATCGACCTGATAGTAAGGCATGTCAAAACGCAGCTTGAACAGGTAGAAACAACCAGACTCACTTTTTTTTGCATCCACTTCTCCAATTTCTCAGTATTTTGAAATCTAACTTTCAGTGTTCATTTTATTGCAGAGGGGTTTCAACTTCAGGTGAGAGCAACCGACTGTTTTTTTCTGTGAAGACAGCATTTTAATGCGTAAAAGCACTTCTTTGTACCTTTGAGGGTTTTGATTGTCTGTAGATTTTCAACTAGATGAAATTAAATAGATCATTACTGAATACTGTGGGACCATTTTAGGTTATGTTTTCCCTTAAGATCGAAATTTTTGTTTGATTGTCATCTATACTGATGTATTTTCTCAAGCAATACTGCGAAACAAAAGAAATAATACTCAAGGGAATGACACATGGATTAAATTGAGAAATCAGCAATAAGGAATATAGTAGGATATGAATGAGATATGGACGAAGAGACAAGCTTAAGGGAGGGGTGGGGCTACATATCTCAGGAAAGAGAACTCTCTTCCTTACTCTCATCTACAAGTGCCCTTCTCATGGATTGAAAATCCCATTCCCAACATAGGCGTCTGATGGTCCCTTCCATTCTAACTTTCTTCCAGTTTTCATGAATTTTGTGAATGCCATTGACATTAATTATTTCAAGATCACTGTTTGATTTCTATACTTAGATCCAGTTTAATATCAGCTCATCATGGCCAACCATTACCGAAAAGCTTAAGCCTTGTCGAAAATACACCCCAAGTACGAGGCCTACACACAATAATAAGGTAAGAAACTCGTTATACAGCGCTATACAGTCGCCAGACTTGCTGCTCGCGCGGAGAGTCTTAATGACCAATCACGTGACTAATGTGCATAGGCTGGCTGCTCAATTCTAGTACTTCGGCCTGGGGGGAGGGAAGAGGGGGGAGCTTATTCTGCACTGGTGAAACAACACGACTTTGATCAGCCCAGATGTTGCATGTTCCAGGGTTCGATCTGTGAGTTAGCCGTACCCTGACTTAGCTTAGCCAGGAGGTTGTTCAGAGTAAAGATAAAATTTGAGATCATAATCAGTATCTCTCAAGGTATTTTGCGTAACGTTTTAGAAGGAAAACCTGTGTTACAACCAACAACGGGCGTTACCAGTGTCCAGGATAGGTTTCTATGGATGTGGTTTTTGAAATGAAAAAACATGGCAACCTAACTATCTCCTTCGGAAACATGGAGGGACAATCCAACACTATCGCGCGTTTCGTATTTCCCACGTTAGCTCAGGCTCAGCCAATCAGATTGCAAGATACTGATCCCAGCTTTGATCTTTAATTGCAGAGACGAGATGACAAGTCGAGATGATTTTATATTTTATTCCAAAAGACTTATGAGGATCCTCATTGAACATGCCTTGTCGCTTCTTCCATTTAAGGTAAGTCACGTGATAAGGCTTGACTTGTACTGTCACTTGTCAGTGTCCAAGCAAAATAATTTTCTTTGGTTTGAGTTTGTCCTCATCAATATTGTATGCGTTGGTTTTGTTTGATTTGTCGCATATCTTGGGCACCAGATTTTTTTTTTGACAGACGGTTTACATTGGTTTTGTCCATTGTTCCTATTTTTCCTCTTTTCTTTTTTCTAGTTCTTTTTCAGTATTATTAAAAGCAAATCTTATACATCTTTACTTTAACGCTCGTTCCATTTTTGCTAACACATATTTATAGTATTCAGTTTGATTCAAACGCTGGGAAGACGGATAGTATTCCCTGTCCTCGACTATCTTTTTACCATCTATATTGTCTCTGCTATCCACTTTACGTTCCGCTTTTGTACTTTACTAGATAAGGGCAAGTTTGATATTTGCAAGACAAAAAACAGCTTCCAAATTCATAATAAAAACATTTAAAAATACTATCAAACAGAATTTCAAATTATAATATGGCCAAATAATAGCGATATTGAAGATAGTGCAAAAACCAGGTCTCAAGTAAAATACTATAGCGTTGTTTGATTCCAGTATTTTAATATCAAGTCTGGTACCCGGGACGTAGTTTATTCAGCGTGAACCTACGACCAGCACATTTTGTCTGAATCCCAATTATACGGGTATCGATATTGAAAGTCGCTTTATAAGATAAAGCAACAGAGACTTACAAAAAGCCATGTAGCGGCGGTGCTTCAAGGGGCTTCCTGACGGGTACTGCTATTGTTGCTATTCAACTGATCTATCATCCCACTGGGGCATCTAAAACGATTCTTTTTAACCTCCTTTTTGTTGACACTGTTTTAAGCGCTCGAATTTGTAATCTTGACATAATATCTTTATATTTTTACTCAGTATCATAACATTTAAGACTTTTTCTGTGTTGAGAATTTTCGAGAATCATTTCTCTACGTCTCAAATTTTGTTGAATTCAATAAAAAAATTCATTGGCTGACAAGGGAGTTTTAGTAATAACTGCTTATATCTAGATTACCTCAGTTAGAAATCTTTTTATTTTCTAGAATAGTTAGTGTTATTGCTTAAGGCTTATTATAACTATGATGAATAAATTTCCTCGAAACACGAAAAAGTGACAAGAAAAATCACCTAAGATTTTATTGTTTCAATTTTCTCACCAACAGAAAAAAATATTTTTTTTTGTTTTGACAAGTAACCTAAGTGTCACAAAAGACGTTCGTTTTCAACAGCTGTAAAATCTCTGTTTTTTTTCTTCTAATTTTTCCTTTCAATCCTTCATGAATTAATTTCTCTTAAATGTTCTCTTAGTATTTTTTATTATTTTAGTTAAAGAAACTATCGTTTTCTATCGACTGTTTGTTCATATTAGCTACAAATAATATATTCATGCAATAATGATTTTTGACGACTTTTTGTCTTCTATTCGACTCATTAAAAGTTGAAGACCAGTTTCAAAAACTAAATGAATTTTCCACCTTAATGACAGTGGCAGGTTGTAAACTAAACCAAACAGCAAAAAGACTTGTTAGTTTTTTTTTTGGCTTGCATAAATAAAATTCATGTTTATATATCTGTATCTATGTTTTTGTTTTATCAGGAGAAATTTGCACTCTCCTAGCAGCTCATACAATACCACAAGAAATGTCATTTGTAAGTTTGGTATTCATCTTAAACGCGCTTGGAAAATCACAGTTTGACGTTTTGTACACAAAAGACCTCAATTTTTTTATGAATTCACACTACATCCTAGTGTTTTAACAAAGGAAACTTTTGCTTTTATGATTTTCTTCTTCCTTCTCGTACCGTAGTTTCAGCTGGTTCGTTCTGTTGACTCAGTTGTGCAACATTTTAGGCAGTCGTTTTCAAAATTTTCCTTTATTGAGCGAACAATATATCAAGCTTGGTTATTTTCAAGCCAATATTGACTTAAGTCTTTACAAAAGAACCTCTGAACTCTACTGAATCGAGAATAAACACTGTGAAACAAGTTATACAGTGAAAATTATATTTTTATAACGAGAATTTTATGGATTCTATTCAAACATGTAGCATTGTCAAGGACCGTTTTGTCTCGTTAGATTAGGGAGTATTGTTTTGGAACTCCTAGTGGATCAAATAAAATCTAAAATCAGTTTTCAATCAGTTTAACTTTCTCGAAAGTAAAAACTTTCTTTAATCTCTATCTTAAATCGCTTTTGAATAGAATTTACAGACTAATATTCGATAATTTTCGTTTCAAATTCAAAATTTTGAAATTTTGGTTTTTGACATTTGTTCACAAAATCCACAAGTGATTACCTGCCCCTAGGCTACTATTTTTCTTTGTTATCATATAATTATTATTATTTGTAATTTTGATGCTAAAATAAAACGCGTCTATAATTTACGCGACTAAAAGCCTCGACCGAGTCTGTTTCTATGACAGAGTCTTGCCTTCGCAAGTATGAAACTTATTTTCAAAGAAAAATTGAATATTTTTCTTTTCTTTAATGTCATATTTAAGCAAAATTTTTCTCAAAGCGAATTAAGACAGAAAGTACGCCATCTTCTAAATTCAAAATCAAAACCCGTTGAAAAAAAACTAGTTACCGCTCTAGTCTTTATTGTTGAAAAAAACTTGATAAGTTGGGATATTTTTTAAAAAAATGATTTGATATTTTAGTAATACTGATATTGCTGTCAGAGTCTTTGGACAACTAATGTGGTTCGTCTCTTTCTCACGACTAAATAAGCATTTGACGTCTTTGCGAGTCAACATGATATAGCCATGGTTTCTTAGTCGCCTTAGCAGAAAGTTAAGGGTTTGGGGTTAGAGGTATGGTTCCATAAGATGCTCGAGAATCGTCCGAGACGACGCCAACGCCACTAAAGACCATCGATTTAATGATTATTGCATGAAAGAACGGGTTATCCGCTCATGTTGTGATGTGAAGCTATTTGGTGTCTAGGGCGTGTTAAATGTGTGGCCACGTTTGTCTTAATGTGTGTTGGTGCTAACACGTGGGTACGGTGTGGCGGTCAGCTGTCACGCCTTCCAGGCACAACAAGAAATAACGGTTTTCATATCTGCCTAGAGAAATTGCGTTACCACATTCAAGCTTAACATTTAAGTTATGGAATTAAAGGGGCAAGTGTTTGCGTCAAATCCGTTAATCAAAATCAAATTCACCTCGTTGCGTGTGCACACGTTGGCTAAGTATAAAGTATGAATTGTCGTAACCATTAGCGCATGGATTGCATGCTCTGTATTGTGCAAATTACTGGTGACATAAGTGTTGCCGGCATCCAATGCCATTCTTGAGTCAAACCAATTTAATAGCGGGTAACTTTACACTAGCCTTTTAGACCAAATGTTCATTTAATTTTGCGGCTCAGTTAACGGCCATCCTAAGAAAAGTACTTTTCATGTTGTAACGATTTTAAATATAAACTTTCACGCACATTTTAATCATTAGAAATTAGTTTCGTCTTTAACCCTTGCTTTCACTAGCGACGCACCGACGCAAGCCGACGCACTGAACTCCAAGCAAAAGCATGTTCCCAATAAGCCTTTTCATAGTTTAAGAATCGATTCCACTGCGCATGCGATTTTATCCCGAATTTCTCACCTTCTTTTGTCTAAACCTTCTTTTGTTCTTAATTAAACAAAAGAAGGTGAGAAATTCGGGATGAAATCGCATGTGCAGTGGAATCGATTCTTAAACTATGAAAAGGCTTATATGAAAAGAAGCGACAACTCCAGTTTYGCATTATCTTTTGCTCATCATCAGTTGTGCGTTAAAATATTCAGCCCACTCAACCAAAACCAGTGGAATTTCAATCAACTAGTATTGTTCCGTAAATTCCTTAAATTCCTTACATTGCAATAGGCCTCAATAATAAGAAAAAAAGAACACATTTATACGCCATTGAGGCCGGCTAACGCTGAGCAAAGGGGATATCAAAATTGGGTGGTTAAGTTATTCACGTTCTCGGTGTTGTTGTTTCAGCCACTAACTGTAACCACACCGGCCGGGAATTCTTACGATGGTAAAAAATTCGCTGGCAAAAGGGTAAGTAATCCCATAAAAATTTCCCTCCATCTTATTTTTTTTTACGTCGCAAGACCAGGCTACATTGATCTTTTCAACATTAGGGACTGTTCATTAATTATGCCTCAGGGTGGGCTGGAGGAAAAATCGAAAAAAAACTTTTTTTAACCCCCCTCATTGTGACCTTTTAGACATACCTTAATTATTTGTTTCAACCCCCACCCCCTTTGAGTCAGCAAATACTATTAAAGCCCCCCCTTCTTTGTGTGTTTTTTTTTCTTCAAAGCCCCCTTACTTTTCCTCAAGGGTTCCCATGACCTTTGTACCAGGGTCACGCTTTCATAATGTATAAAGGGTTCCCATGACGTTTATACTTATTGTTGCTATGTTATATTTTAGTTGTGCGGCGTCTCGATACTGCGTGCTGGAGAAACACTAGAACCTGCTTTGGAGTCTGTCTGTAAGGAAATTCGTATTGGGAAAATACTGATCCAAACCAACGATGAAACCGACGAACCAGAGGTATTTTTCCTCTGTCTTTGGGGTGCTTGGACCCAATCTTGTAGTCTAGAGCTGTCTAGGGCTTGATCCACTTTTATGGCGAAGACGAGCTGGGTAGTTGAAAGATACTGGTAGTCTTCTTTGTGTTTCGAGCATGCGCGCTTTTTTCCTTTTACTTGTTTTCTTTCTAATTAGTGTTCCAATGTGAGTCCAGTTCTGAACTACCATATCAGTGTCGCAACTCATCTGTAAAGAATCAGACTCGCGTGCGGTTATGATATTTATGAATTTTTTCCGCTTAACTTCCAGCTTCATTACCTTAGACTACCGCAAGATATCAGTGAAGATCACGTGATCCTGATGGATGCTACCATAGCAACAGGTGCTGCAGGTAAGTGTCAGCTTGAAAGAGGAAGTCTACCCCATGTTGTGACCATAAGTAGTACTTGACTGAATCAGTTTGACTGACTGACTCACTCACTCACTCAATCACTGACTGGCTGACTGACTCACTGACTGACTTGACTGTGCATGACTGACTGACTGACTGACTGACTGACTGAC